TGCTTTTTCTTTTCACCTCGTTTCTTCCTCCTTGCTTTTTCCCTTTCTCATTTCCTTTTCCTTCGTTAGTGTGATTTTGGACCTTATCCAAAGAAACATGCCTATTGACGCCTTTTCACTCCAAATGACGACAAATTTCGCTAGGTTTATTTTCAAAAAATTGACAGCTGGACATATATAGAAAAAATAACTTATTGCAACATATATGTAATTAGCATCCTTTGTCATCCTCTCAATATATTTCCGCAAGATTTCCGCTATTTTGTAAACTGATCCTTGAAGGAAACTTAAGATCCGAGAACGGTGAGGAGAAGGAAATGTTCGACTGGGAAATCCGGATTTCGGATTTTGAAATCGAACGCGAATTCCGAAAACCACCGAAAACGAATTTCACCTCCGAGAAATCCGTGGGTCATTTCATGGTTCTCCCTTTTACCTTTCGATTGGGAAATCCGAAAAGGATTGTTCTAGTTAACAGTGGTCTTCTTTTTGCTAATAATGAGTGCGTGTGCAAGACCGCTGTTCTCAAGAACTGTTTATCAATTCCTTTGTCGGATTTTCCAAAAAAACCCGAAAGAAAGGGGATCTAAGAATGGATATCTCAGCGTTGAAATCTGTTTCAGATTTCGCGTTCGATTGCGAATCCGAAATCCGGAGTTTAAAATCTAAATCCAGATTTCCCAATCGAACGCACCCTTTCAATCTTTATCGCGATTATTCCAAATCACTTACCTTGTCAAATTTAAGTGAACCTCCCTTGAGTTGAATTACTGAGAACCATTTGCAAGTTCAGAAAGAGAAAGACAATTTCGTCGTCGGCTTCTTTACGTTCTCTAAAAAACGTGAAATCAGACATCTTCATGTCGTGGTTGTACACTGACATCAGGGACTTTAAGATCCAACGACGCGACGGCAATGAGAACGTCGCTTAAAAAGTGAATTTGCGTTCTTTTAGTCATTATCGCAATTATAATTCCTACCCACTTACTTTGTCAAATGTAGGCGACCCTCCTGGAGTTGAATTCCTAGGGACCAGATCCAAGTACAGAAAGAGAAATAAAATTTAGTCGTTGCTTGTTTACGTCCGTCCTCCATAAAAGGCGAAATTAGGAATTTTCACGTCGTAGTAGTGCAAAAACGGGCAAAGAAATATACAAAAAAGCGTGATGCACGTGCAAAGTTGTTGTTTTGCTTATAAAACCTATTTTTTGACGTTCTCGTTGCCGTCAGCGTCGTTGGATCTTTTAAGTCTCCATCAAAGCACACATGGAGAAAGGCATGATGCATGTCTGAAAGTTGTTGTTTGGCTTGTTGCTTATGTTGCCGTCGCCGTCGCCGTCGCCGGGTGTATCCAAAACACATCTTCGTTCGAAACTCAAACGTTGTCACTGCGTTGTGTCGTCTTTTTCAGGAAATGTTTAATATTCCTCCTAAGTTTATTATTGTAATTATGTGCTTATAAACGCATACGATATTAAGGTGTTTCGATACTGTTTTTCAGAGGCCATACCGATATTTCTCAGTAGCCTTAAAAGTGGTTTTTCCTTGTCCGATCGCTATAAAATTATCATCAGTAACTGGCTATGGATTGAAATTTGTGAAAATGTAGTTTTAAGTAAAATCGATATTACTATGACAGCAATGAACAAAAAACTTTGAAACTGATAAAAGCCGAATTTTGTGTGATCTAGACCAGCTACTGAAAATCCAGCACTAGGAACTTAAAAGTTTGGTGTTTAGCAAACAATGTCCGTAAGAAGTAAAAAATTCTGTATGTGTGAATTCGACTAAAATGAAAAAATATTTCAAACCTTGAATTTTCAATAGCCGTGATAGATTTTTTAATAATAACGTTATAAGTGACTTAAATTATTCTTTAGTAGCGTCAAATGCTGCTTAATATCATATTTCGAGGCTAGGAAATTTTGGTGTATTCTCGTTCTTGCGATCTTGAAAACTAACCCTTTTTCTCACCACCTGTGTAAGTGGAACTTCATTCAAAATTTTTAGCGCTTTTTTGTACATCTGTGAAACGAGTCTAACGAATTTTTTGAACATCTCTTCACATAATCGTCATAACGTATATAATAATGTCTGAAATTTTCATTAAGATTTATTCACGGCAACACCTTGGAATTTCAAGACAAACCTACCCTTCGAACCTGTCAAAAAACTTGCTTTACAACATTCACTGTTTTGACTTTATACTAATTTTTCCAAAATAATGCGCACTATATATACATACCTCCATGACTAGTACAGTTTAGTTTGAATTTATCGCATCTTTTGAATGTAAAACATTGACAATACTCACATTGAAATGTTTTAGTCATGGATATATGCACTTTCGGCATTAATTTGGAAAAATTAGCATAACGTCAAAACAGTGAATGTTGTGGCGCGGATTTTTGACCGGTTCGTAGGATAAATTTGTTTTGAAATTTCAAGGTGTTGCAGTGAATCAATCGTAATGAAAGTTTCAGACATTATTATATACATTATGAAGATTATGTGAAGAAATTTTAAAAAATTTCGTTCAGGTCGTTTCAGAGATATACAAAAAAATCACTCCAAGTCCAAATTTTGAATGAAGCTGCACTTACACAGGTGGAACAGGAGGGCATTTTGCATGCGCATGCGTGAATCCGCTGAACGACAATAGCGTGGGCGCATCAAATCTGATGGCGGGAAATCGAAAACTCGCACGTAAAGTTACAGTCCTTTTAAAAGCCATTTCGTTGGTGCTTTGAATACCGTACTTTCCTACAAAAAATATTCTCCATGACAAAAATCGGACGTTTTCTACGCGGATTTTCACTTGTAGATTTTTCAGCAGTAGGTTTTCTTGGCCTTTTAAGGACTTTCAAGACTCAACGCCAAAAAGTCATTTTCCTGTATACGTCTGATTTTCACTGGCAAAGCAATGCATTTCTATGGTTTGATTTCCGAACTCGTGGTTTTACTTATCAAGGGGGAAATGCATCGTAGAAATGTTCAGCTGCTTTAAGACAAAAAGCGAAAAAAAAATTTACCACGCGAGGTTTATTTACTAACGCGATGTCTCATGTTAAACTGATCGCGGAGACACGCGTTTATATACGCCACAAAAACATGAAATCTATGGGGTTTTTACAGTTTTTCGAAAGTTTTCGCGGAAAAATTTATAAAAAATATTCTATAGGAAATGAAGAATGGATTGAGTTTGAGACAGCAACAATTACAAGTGATTGTGTAGTACATAATCACTTGAGGATTTCATAAGATCAGTTGCAGACAAAACGAATGCACATACTCCGAAAAAACGAACAGTACTCTTATTTTTCTTTAACTCTAAAAGATACAGAGATTTTTCCTAAGCTACTATTTTGAAGCGATTCTTGAGTGACAGCTCCTGTGTTTCACAATCGATTTCTTGTTATTAATTTATTTGATGACAGTAGTGATCCATTCAAAAAGGAGAATGCCCATCGCTCCATAAATCTAACTGACGATGTTGTTCACCTTCAAAGCCTGTTTAAACATAAGACAGGAAGTTTGTTAAAGGGGTGCATATAATGCTGTTTCCTCAAAAAATAAATGCTTCTGCGAAAGGACCCAGATGAGCTGGGACGCGACAACAAACATGACACAAATGGATGGATGAATTTGTCTGTTATTAATGTTTCTGTTGAGAGCTTTCTTTTTACTGTATCAAGATGAACCCCTTATGTAAGTTGTACATCATGGAAGAATTATCAAGCAGAAACTGATGCATTAAACAAGAATGTGGTTCAATACAGAGGAGAAGCTGGTCTCAGTCAACATCCTTCGTGAATGAAATGTCTCACAAATTAGCATATCAACAAATGTAGTATCCACAAAATGGTATCATTTAGGAATAAATGCGATTGTTTTGCAACAGAAGCCAGGATTTAGTTAAAAGGTGTATTGATAACGTTTCATTTCGTGCTATTTTGGGGTTGGGGAGTTAGGCTAGATTTTCTTTAAAACGCCAAAATGTTATATTTATTTGCATAATGAAATGTAAACAAACAGTGTGCTATCAAAATAAGGTGGAAAAAATCAGAATTCAAACCGATTGCTGTAATTTTTTTCCTTTGTATAACTAAATGATAGAATATCTTATTTTCAAAACATAATCTTACCGGCATCATTATATTGATTTAAATTTATAGTTGAAGTGCGTGTATTTTATTTCTCAACGAAGACGTACCGAAGAAGAAAGCTAAAATTACCGCAGAAGGCGATTTTTCACAGCCTTCATCAAAGCGCCATTCATTCGGCGAAGTATTCTTAGTTTCATTAATCATTAACTTAATCTGGGGAGAAAGGCAAGATTTCGAGATAAACAAGCCAGAGAAAGGGGGAAAAACAGTTTCACGGCAGAATGGACACTTAATTAACCACTGTATTCCTGAAACGATTAAGTTCGATTTTAGAGTTATACTATTGAGAAGAATGAAGTATCTATAGGATAGTTGTTTAACAAAAAACTATCATACTGACCTTTTCCCCCTGCTCAAAAAATGTGCGCGAAATGTTAGGTGATAAGAACATTCAGCCGCCATCTTGTCTTCGATACACTATTTTACGAAAGGAAAGACTGTCCTCTCAAGGGCGACAGGGAGGCTACAATAAACTCACTTTCATCGTAGAAATACCTCGATACCTTAAAGAACATGTTTGTGGAACGTAGTACCCAATACACGTCATTAAGCTCCAGAAAACAGCCTGCAAATGCTGGTACTGAACGTAAACAATTCACAGAAAATGCTTCTGTGGCCCTTCAACAGCCCATATTGACGCATGCGCATACAAAATGCCTTCCTGTTCACAGGTGGTGAGAAAACGGGTTAGTTTTTAAGATCGCACGGACGAAAATACAAAATTGGTTTATACGGTTTTTATTTTAGATATCGAAGGAAATTCTACAGGGACTTAAAAGAGTATACTTAGAAGAAGAGGAAAAATGACATAACCTCTTTACTATATTTGTAATCATGCTAAAAGTTCCAGTATTTGACACAAAGATGATCGGCATGACCACTAAAACTGCAAGAAACACTTTCTTAGATAGGGTAGTAACAAAATTTTCCAGCAGGAGATATACGTTCAAAGATTGTGCTACAAAATTGGACAAGGATTTGCCAATCGCATTTAAGGCGCCACTTCGAAGAAGAAAAACAAAACGTTTTTTCTCAACTTACAGTATGGACTAAGAATAGATAGGATATTTCTCCTTTATTATAACAATCTGAGAGCGCGAGAAAAAAACACAATTGTGCATGTAGAAGAGTATGACGCTTTAAAGCGACCAATCACCGACGGGGTGAGATTCATGTTAGCTGAGAGATCTGAAAGAACTCTATAAGCAAACACGACGGCGTCAGCAACGAACGCGTTTGGCTAACATTATGATAAGGAAATCAAGGATAGCTTTATTCGGATAAGTTCTGATAATTTGACTCACTAAGTAAGTGGAGGCAAGGCACACGAGGAAGGTTGACATGATAGCTAACGAACTACCGGCCACCAAATTGAGGACGTTCAACAGAAAACTGAAAGATGGGCAATGTTCAATGTTCAACATTGGGAATCGAAAAATTCCAGAGCTCAACAACATCACTTACATTGAAACAGACATATTAAGTGAGTAGTACCAATTGACCTATGATAATATAACTGACATTTTCTTTTTTGAACATGATTTTTCTTCAGACAATGTCTGATCACTGGCATGATAAATAAAAAGAAACGATGACCTAATTTCCTTAATTCGTCCAGTGATTAACTTTTCTCAGTAGTCTTAATACCAAGCGGTTAGGGAATAAAATATTGGTTTGCTCCTGAAATTCGGCCCGGCCCATCGCAGGTTTCATGAATCTTTTAATTAGCTTTGGCCTTCGGCGTCCGAAAAATGGTACTAGTTTGAACATATTTTCTTGAAGTATTTCAAGCGTTTGTCTTGCTTTGTTGGACAGTAAATTAAGAAAGGCACAAAAGGCAACCTATGCTCCACTACGTGAATATTGAGACCTTTACAATACTGTGTCAATTAGGATGTAGCTACAGTTTAAGAAATTCACAGTGATAAAATGTTTGGATTCTCTTACTGATTAAAATAGCCTAAAACAAAAACCCTTGCCTTTGCACGTACAAGAGAAGTGAGGTGCGTGATTCGTCGATTCGTTTGATTTATGGGCTCCTGTAGGACAAATTCAGTAGTATAAATCCGTCTTTTTTGGTAAGGTTTGAGTAGTCAGGATAAGCTGTCAGAAAATGTTTTGCTAGACTTATATGTGGATAGAGTAGTTGGGAATAGAAACTCGGAGGTGCTTTAAGGTGATAAAAAAGGTCAGTTTGTTTTTGATTACGTCATTGTGAGAGAACGTGTTTACTAAATATTGCCAACAATAGAGGCGGCTTCTGAGTATTTGCCCTTTCAACTCATTCCTTTGTTCCTTATTCTTTATATTCGAAGAATCTTCCAAATCTCGTCATTTGCATCATGGCGGACTTCACCAGAGTTTCATCCAAACATGGAGACGTGGAAATGGCAAATCGCAACGGACATTTTCATGCAGTAGGTTCCATATTCTCATTTTTCAAAGACCTTGACTTGTTGCAAACATTTTTGACTTTCCAAAAATGACTTTTCGCAGAACGAAAACAAAGGGTATCTAGCAGACCCAGGAGAAAACGCAGGAAATAAACCCGGGTGGAAAGGAAATCAGAATGAGGAAGATTTTGATCCTTGGGCTCTGCCCGAACTTCAGGATATTGGACCAAAATGGTCTGGTAAGTTTCGTTGCGTTCAGTCTAGTCGTATTCTTCGTCTAACTTCGTCATACCACAAAATTCCGAAAATGAACCCCGTGGGTGTTAAATGGTTTTAAAAGTAATAATGTGTTAATAAAAAGATAATTAAATAAATAAATATAATCAAAGGCCTCTTTTGTGGGGCTTATAATAGCAGGGAAATTTCATCTTCAAAATCCAGCGGGCTTTTAATTGTAGGAAATTTGTGTCAACAATTTTCAAAGCACAATAACAGGATTCTAGAAATTCGTGGGAAGTAATTCTTCAGAACTTGCAAACTTAAAAGTGACAGCAATAACGGAACTTCATTGAAAATGAAAATGCTGGAACTAGTACGTGATATCATAAATTTAATGCGATGATTTGATACTGTCGCCCATCGGTCAAAAAGGATAGGGTAGGATAGGATAACTGCTTTATTATCGACAGAGCGCCTACAGACACATGTGTTTACAACAATAACAAAGATTTTAGTGCAATAATTACAGAGGTGTACATTTGTAGAATTTATACAACTAAACAAGGTTATATTTAACGCGTCTATCTCTTTCGCGGAAGCGATCACATACGTATTTAGCCACAATTTTTTGCGTTTTCTCTCCTTGCTTCATACTTATCAAAGTTGCAAAGGCAGAGCTTGCAGTCATAGTGTCATAGAGTCATAGAGTCAAGAAAAAGGAAGACGCATCATCTTACGTGCTAAGTGATCAAAAGTTAAGTTTTTAGCATCACCATCGTCATTTCAGTTGTAGTATCAATATTAGGAAAGGCAAAGTATTTTAAAGCAGCTCAGTTAAGGCTTATTCAAATGGAGTCACGCAATATGTTTCTGAAAACAAAGAAAAAAAGAGAAAAGGCAAGAAAAAAAGAAAAAATAGTAGAAAAACGTAAATACCATGTACATAAATAGAAATACCTGAATAAATTGTTGTTCTTGGCATTATTTTCCCTCTTTTTGGCTCTTACTTTCTTATCATTTAGCAAAAAACTCGTTTCAACTAGCAAAACATGTTACATACAGAGAACAACAACTGACACGTAATGCGAACGAGTCTAATGTTTTCTTGTCAATGCCGATGTAACAATGTCAAATGATAACCTCACATCAAATCACAACGGGGTTTACAAATGCCTTGAAACCTGTTGCTAACAACAATGCTTTAGCAGCAATTGCGACTTCAGTGCCGGATCTAGACCTTAATTGAGATAAGGGGGTTTGGGGGAAGCGGTGGTGGGGTGCGGTCTCCAAAAACATTTTTGGATCCACCATTGGACTTATGATTGTGTGATCGAATCTCTCTGTTCCCTGACCAATAGAGCTCGACTGCAAAGGAAAGTTTCTTCGCGTCGCTTTGGCGTTTACCAAGATTGTCTTACTCCTTGGTCTTCTGTACTTGTTCATCTGTTCGTTGGATTTCCTAAGCAGTGCCTTTCGCTTGTTGGGAGGAAAAGCCGCTGGCGAAGCCTTCGCTTCGAATGAAATTCTCAGCAACCCCGTTGCTGGCCTTATGATTGGCATCCTGGCAACTGTGCTTGTTCAAAGCTCGTCCACTACAACTTCCATCGTGGTCGCAATGGTGGCTGCTCGCAGTAAGTTTTGTATTTTATAACAACAATGTTGCATGATTTTGGAAGATCAGGGGCACCCAACGTCAATTTTCGGAAAATATCTGTTCGGAAGACGATTTGAGATCTAGATTTTTTCGGAACATTTGTTGTAAAATTCACTGCTTGCCTGCCTTTCCTGGGATTTTCGAACATCTGAAAAATTGTATAATTGCCCTTTTTTAACAGCGTTTTACTCTAAAAGGTCACCCAGAATTTTCGGGAACCTTTTTTCTGGCTGACATTTTCGAAAAGGTAAGTTTTGATCCCTATAATTTTCGGATCACTAGACTTTCAGCTAGGAAATCCGAACAGATGAAAAATTTTTTAGGGGATGAAAATATGCCTATGTCTACCGTTTAAATACTAAAATACGTTTAACAATGCTATGTTTAAGTGGTTTTGAACTATATTCTCGTTGGGTGCCCATGGAAGATATTTACCAGACTTTACTGTAATTTATATAACGTTTTAGCGCTTCCAATAGCTTCTAATGGTCACATATCTGAAAATAATTTCAGTATTTTTAAAATCAACGCTGTCTAAGCAGAGGGTTTTATTGATTTATGGACCATAGTTTCGTCATAGAGGAAAAAATCCCTATACTTTGTCACTCATCGAAAAAGTAATACAACACACTTATTTTGAGTTGATATTGGCCTGGTAGCCAATAACCAGCAACGCCGGAGTTTGTCCGGCTTGAACTGTGCAAAAGCTAGAGAAGTCAATTGAAAAGTCTGTTCCTTGTTTGTTTTTCTTCTAACCATTTCATTACTGAATCAGTTTTGTCACAAAACCAAGTATCAGAAATAGATACTAAGTTAGATTAGATTCCCTTTGTCGCACATTTTCTTTTTGGAGTTTCCTAGGGTATTCTTCATTCTGTTTATCACTTTTACATCTGGATTTGTGCTATTTCAAAATAAGGCAGAAATTTTGGTTGGAAAAGGATGATGTTTTGGTATGCGCCCGAGAGTGCCTTGCTTAGATGGACGTTGTAATTCTTACCCCTAAAACTGCGAACTAACTGTGGAGCGTTAAGATACTATTATGCAGCACTTGTTGGTGAACAGAAACTACACTTTTAACCACAAGATCATACCACCTGTAATCACTCTCTCATCAGGTGCGTTAGTGTTCAAAATCTACGTTTGTCTCTTCCATCCAATTGTTATGCTCCAGGCGGTGTGCGTCACGACCCACAAAGGTTCATGGGTAAAACTGTTACTGTGCCTCATTTCAATCGTGACACGGTCGAGTTCGCATCTCGTATAAAGAGAGGTGAGTCAAACCCAGGGATCAAAACACTGCTTCCATTTCGGAAGAGAGCGATTTGGAGAGTTTTCAAGATCTCATAGTGGCCTTAGATGCCTGCTATTGGCTTCACAAGACAATGTCAATAAGTTTATCGCGATTCGGAGACGATCGTGCGATCTAGCCGACTTTGATCGGCGACAAATTTCCAGCTTCTCATAAGATTTTATCTACTCTTTGGTTTATATGTATATTTTTACCTCATAGAGAAATAGATCTGTAGTTCATACATGGATTTGCTTAACTAAAAAAAATATTCGTCCATTAGAAGTGTTTATAAATTTGATGGACTTTATTACCGGCCAAGGAGGGGGAGCGCGAGCAAACAGCAAGGTGAGAAATCGTCTGCTCATAACAATTTTATTTTCATCGACAAGTTTATATTATTCTGAAAACAGTGCCTATTTGAAATCCTTATGCGCAAATAAATCTTCTATCAGGCAAGGGGAAAACAGGCCGAAAGAGCCGAACAGCTACAGCACAATCGGAATTTCACCGAAGCTACATCCGCCGAAATAAATCACGATCTTGTCTGTGCGTTCATTAAAGTGAGCGCAGTATCAGGGGCGGATCCAGGATTTTTTTTAGGAGGGAGTGCACTCGTCTCTTGCTCTACTTCAACACCAATAAACCACATAGTTCCGTTTTTTTTTTTTGCAGAATACCAGTTGTATTAGAAAACCGCAGGTCAGCTCAAGGGGGGGGGGGGGGGGGGGGGGGGCGCCCCCCCTGCCCCCCCCCCCTAGATCCCCCCCTGAGTATATCGATTTTGTTATTAATAAAATAAAACCTAACCTCAGTTTTAAAATCCTGTATGATGTAGTCTGGATCTTCGATAAGAGTTTTCTGTTTTGGTAGAGATTTATAACAAATTATTCCCTCACATAAGTTTACATAAAGATATGCATTCACATACCACACACTGCATGCAAATTATTTTAAAGTCACGCTTTCAGTTTCCGCACTGGGTTAATAAAAATGTTTTCTTTCCAACGGTTATTACAATATTCAAACTTATTTACCTTTTCTGGTTTAAAATAGAGAAAACTCTTCCTGGATTTGTGTTACTCGCTTCACGTCGGCTTCCGCTTCGGTATGTTTTCTCAGCCCGTTTCCCGGGAGTTGTGCCACTTGGCTGAGACGATGTCTTAATAGGCCATTTTACAGTTGTGTGCTCAGTGCCCTGGCCTCTGAATAGAAGCGAGGCTGGCGGTGACCTTGTTTTGTTACAAACCTTACTGCTTTTCATGTGCAAATCGTGGTATTCTCTTGCTAACAAGCCCGTGAACATGATCATTTACATATGAAAAAACATAGGCACGTTAAACGTGCATGAGCTATTTTGAATGCTTCAGTGTAACCTTACCAAGAATGATGAATCTACCTTTTTCGTCCTAAATATAGACTGGGTTTTTGTGCAAAATTGGGTATTGCCGTACATAAATGAAAACGCGAAACGCTCAGCTGCGTCGATCCTCATGCTATATATTCACTTTCCTCTGTCTTTCCCTGTTACATTTGGTGCAAGTTCAACAAATTATTAAAGTAAAATAAATATCTACTCACCAAACGTTGATTAGAAGGAAAACTCTAAGGTTTCCTCGGAGTTTCTTAAGCCAAATTGTGACTCATCGAATTCGAGTAGTTAAGAAGTACCAGGATTCTTATCATTGTGGTAGATGGTTGCATCATCACAATTCACGAGGTTTTCACGTGCGATTCTACTCAGTGAAACAGTCCTTAACTCCAACAACTTATTTCTTCATGTTTTAAAAGCTATTGCTTCTTAAAAGAAAAGAGCCTTTTTTAAGGCATTGGTTACAAAACGAAACAGGTCTTCGTACGTTCAAGTTACTATTATTATTGTAAAAAGCCAATCTGCATGAGACATACAGTCACACAACTGGCACGTGAAAGTGTTGGACTTTGCCCCCTTTCGTGGTTCGTACGTGAGGGAATTCGAACAGCAAGTGGTAACGTTGCGAGTATGCGCGAGCCGCTGGACGGAAGTTTGTGGTGGTATTGGATCGCAGCGAACGCAGCAAAGAAAAATGGCGCCTCCTTTAAAAATTATCATCGTCTTAGTCATCCGTTCTATTTTTGTGGAGTGCAGATAAGACAAAGTCTTCTGTGTAATATGCGAGATTGGTCTCAAGGCTAATAAGTCGCAGATCATTCACAATTTTACGCTTTGATGGGGTTCTGTGTAACAGCTACAAAACTCCTCTATTAAAGCACTGGGTAACTGGGAAAAAATCTCCTCATATAAGTTGTGACCGAGTACAAAACGTCCGACGCTTAAGATTTGAATAAAACGCTGTGAAAAAAATTCTAAATGCTATGCGACAATCTCCTTGCAATAATACGATTCCACGTCAGTTATGGTTCAGGAACGCCCTGTTGTTTAGAGATGTGCAACCTTAGTGCAGTGATTCTGCCAGTGATTAATTTTCAGAGATACCCTCTCCTAACCACCAGTGTCCAGACGAGGTGCAGTGCCCTGATTCTGTGACTGATAAAATTTCAAAGATATCCCACCCAGGGCTATGAAATTGTATCTTTCCATTTTTGACTATATGATATAAAACTAAAGACCCAAACTCTAGAAATGACATTTATTAAATGTATGTGATGCCTTAACTTATTCAGAGGTGTAGGCAGAATTTTGTAATATGGAGGCTCTTGAATCCAAGATGCCCCTTATACCTCTAAAATAAAGAATTAGATGAGCCAAGAGAGGAGAGTGGTACAAGATGTGTCATATTACAGATGTGTTTTATTTAGGTAACCCTAACAATGAAAAATCCTTCCCTTTACTCCCCACACTTCTACATACTAGAAAACTGCAAATATGCATACACACAACAGTGAAAATACTTAAAATAGTAAAGATCAAAGTCATATTTAAAACTGCATTTTCTCCTTGAGATATTGAAGTGAATTTTCTGCTTCTGGTACTTCCATGTTTGCACTCATTTTTGCTTTTCAGAAATTTTGTTGTTGGTATTTTTTACTGCACATGTGTTAATTATTTAATATATAACTAATAAGGCTTAGCTCCCTTGACTAACCCATATCTATTTGGGGCCAAGTTCTTATGATTTGAAGATTAAGAAATTGAAAATGAGAGAAAATTAGCTCTAACTTTTCCTTTTCATTCAATTTCAACATGTGGAGAACTTAAGGATCTTAAAGCCTGATAGCTTCAAGTGAGTCAATGTATGACTCAATAAAATTAAAGCTTGTCTGTGTGTCTTCTGGGGCACCAAGGCTATTTCATGCAGTTCAGGATGGAGTGACAGACCCTTCACATTCTGCAGACAGCATAGGGTTAAATAAAAAACAGATAGTCGCCATTTTGTACCAGCTCTGCTATGGCTTGAGTGAAAAGTGGAACTGGTTTGAATGTGACGATGCAGTCGTCCTCAATGACTATCACTTGAATCAACAAGGTTTTGTGCTGAGCATCTCATAGGGAGCTCCTGCAACAGGCAAAAGGCAAATGAAATTTTCCATAACTTGTCATCTTGCAACACCAGGGGCATCAATTGCAACTTGTGCAGTCTATGATAGATGACTGTATACACTACTACTGTGTATACACAGCCAAACTGACATTGGCAGGCCATAAGTGCTCCTAAATATATGAGACCCAGAGTATCAAAAGAATTATTTCTAGCGAAGAGTGGAAAGTTACTCCTATGGCATTTTGTTGTTGCACACAACTAGTGATACCCCTTTAGATATTCAGAATTTCCAAAGTGTGATGGATACGAATTTATATTCAAGAAGGAAAGAAATCTTTTGGATAGAAAAGGAATGATAACATTATATTTTATGATTTTTGTTAGCGTACAAATACATTGTATCTGATGGAGCTAATTCTTATCTGGATGCCAATGCAAGGAATCAAATTCACAGATTTCATGTCCAGTGTAGTCTGTGCTTCAAACAGGAATGGCAGTCCAGCAAGTGCAAAGCTGAACAAGGCAAAGAATTGTTTTGCGCTTGAACTTGTGCTAGTGTCAAAGTGGGAGTAATATCATAATGGTCACATGAAAATGCATTAAATCACACTTATCATATTTTATAGTAGTGAAGGGGAAAAGAATGCACATATGTGTATTTTCATATTTTATATCGATTTCAGTTATGTTTCAAGACATTATGTAAACATTTTAAGCATAACTTTAAAATTCTTTTAGGCGCCAATTTTATATGTATAAACAAAATCATCATAGAATAATCATCTTCCAAAATGGTGAGGGTTCTTGTCAATGAATCTTAGAGCTTACAGTGCATAATTATTAAAACGCAAATTCATCAGTGTTCCCCCCCTTGGATGCAAAATCAAACATTCAAGAATGAAAGAGTGTTCCGAAACAATGCTTTTACAAATAAGTTTTGTTGGGATATACTTTTACATGTTCACGAAAAATCTGAAAACAAGGTTGAAAAGGACAAGAAAAATTTGTCTATCTTAAACGAAGTTTTAGCAAATAATATTTCACGATCCACTGCCTCGATCTCTTAATCTCCGAGAATAAGTAATCGCCATAGAGCACCAATGTAAACCAGAAAAGCAAATTTTCGAAAATTGGAAGGAAACATCCGACTACGGCCTTACTTGTAAGAGCAGGAAATTTGCTTGTTGATTTCATGCCGCTAAATAGTATCAAAATACTCGAACTTCCCCCCTTTGAATTAACCATTAAAAGTGAAAATACGGAGTGACCGAAAGAGACGTTTAACCTGTCTAGTCGTTTGTGTAGGATATATAACTGGATCTCACTGTACAGTCAGGGTGAAATACTACAAAAATACGGGGGTCACATAAATTGCGTTGAATTCAGGCTGCTATAATTTTAACACATAACATTCGATGATGCTGCTCCACATTTCACAAAGTAAATGAAGGGGTATATCTTACCTAAATGCTAAGCAGCTCTGCACATCTTGGACGATAACCCATAAATCCGCGACCGCTTGAATGTCAACAAATCAACACATCACAACAAACGACCTCGTGAACGCTTTATCTGCTTCATCAGAGGAGCCAAATGGATGAAAATTAACCAGCTAAATGGTCCTTCTCCCATACATGACACTTCAACATGGCTTAGCCAAAGTATCCAATCTATAACACATGTCTGCTATTGACTGGGTATGCAAAAAAATCTCCCTTGAAAGTGCTTCAGGACAGCTTTCGGCCATTACGATTTCCGGTCGACAAGTGCTTCCCAGAAAGACTGACGCATGCGCAAACGTTACCACTTGCTGTTGGGAATTCGAGTTATCACACGTTAATCTAGTAAACAGAATTATAAAAATAACTCATGCACACAATTTGCACGTGAAGGTGTTGGCCTTTGGCCCTTTTACAATTCGTACGTAAAAAAAAACGCAAATTGTTTACTACAAAATTTTCTCAACGATTTTAAGAAATCACCTCGGCTTCATTACAACATCTGCAATTAAATTATGTTTCATGCAACGTCAAGGTTGATAGCCTAACATTTATTAACTTTGTAAGCGAGAGAATAATATTTTAAAGCTTGTTTACAGGATTAACAATACTCGGTGCATCTTTAAAAAAAATAAGCTGCCTTTCAAACTTGTAAAACCACATTTTATATGCCGCATACTTTCAAATTAAAGTCCATATCTAAATATCAATTATTGCTTTACTGGAAGAGCTTTGAAAATATATGATCTTTTATACTCTACCTTGAAGCAGGTGAAACGCAACTCATAAATACGTGCGTCAGTACCGTTCGCGATAGCTGAATTCGGTCAGAAATGTCTTGAAATAGCATCCACACTAAAATATGAACCCTTAAACAGCTGCATCACTGTACACAGCGTTTGAATCATGAAGATGTTTAATATAATGTTTCCAAACACCTGTAGCCGTAATATACGACGAAAAAATTGTCAAGAATCAAGATGGCGGTCTCAAAGTGCCCTTGTTCGACCTTTAGAGCTCTTTAGCAATGTAATGTTTAAGTAGATGCCAAGATCTCATTGGTTCCTAAGCATCAACTCATAGTACCTTCAACCTTATTGGCTCTTGCAACAAACATCTGAACATACAAAGTTACAAAGATACAAAGTTACAAAGATACAAAGCCACAAAGATACATACGCTCACACCACTGACATATGAGCTATTTTTTCAAAATAGCTCAACAAGAAGGTTTGTTACAAAACAAGGTCACCGCCAGCCTCGCTTCAATTTAAAGGCTAGGGCACTGAGCACACAACTGTAAAATGGCCTATTCCAAGACACTTTCAACGGCTCATAACGGGAAAACTAACAGGGGTAGACCCGGGTAGACCCCGAAATTTGCAAAGAAGAAAGGTTGAAGTATCAAGATGGCCAAAATAATTCGATAAGACTGCTAACAATAACCAGCAATGAATCCAAGAAGAACTGCAAGAACAACACTCAAATCATCATGGCGGCCTGCACATGACCGAGCAGTTCAAACGTGTCACAAAAGCTCAAGAACGCAAAATATTTACGAGTAACGCGACTGCTATCAAGATTAAGTGTTCCGACAACTTTACACGGCGGTATAGTGTGGAAATTACCAACACAAGCTTGGAATAAAGCGAAAATTTCTCCTCATACACCTCTGAAAACGGCTCTTTCCAAGCGCGAAAATCACTCTACAAATGACGCATTCTGATTGGTCGAGTCTCGTGACGCACACCGCCTGGTTATGCTCTATCAAGCGACAATTGTCGCGGCTTGTTGCACACTCACACACTCATCAACGTTTTACGATAAACAGTTCGTTATCACACGTGAAAATGACAACAGGTTAAAGTATTTCAGAATATCCCAAATTCTTTCGCCACATGCTTAGTCCCTGGACCCCACTTTCCTCTTCCCCAATCTTCCTCCAAATTCCATAATAAAATACAGTGAAAACATACGGCATACCTGAAGGGCTCACTCCCTCTTGAATTAGCCATTTTACTGAGGTTCAGCTTGTTGTGTCGAATATTATGTCGGTATGGAAAGGAGAAGTCGATACGTCACGTTGCCATAGTAGCAAAGTTTCTGGATGACAACGAACCGAAAACGTGAATTCGCACTGTTTCAAACTTCATCGATCTTATTCAATTTCATTTAATTTGTCAAATGTTGGCGAAATTTTCTGGGGTTGAATTCGAAGGACCGTATCTAAGTTTAGAAAAAGAACAAGAAAATTTTTTTGTTGTGTTCACGTGTTGTGTTCACCTACTTTATAATGCGGGGGCGTGAAACTAGTAAGTTTCACGTAGCAGTCGTGCAACGACAGCTAAGAACTAATGTAAAAAAATAAAAAACGTGAAGCACGCGCAAAGTTGTTGTTTTGCTAATCTTAACCTATTAAGCCAGCTATTTAGACGGAGTTTAGCCAGTGTTTAACTACCCTGGGTTCCAGAGGATATTTTTTTCTTATTGATACTGATCGTTCGAGGCGGAGCCGCGTCAACGAGGCGCGAAGAGCCGAGAGAAAAAAATAACCTCTGGTCACAGGAGCTACGAGTCTCATTTCCATGCAATTTTAGGATCATATATCTCATCAAACCGGTTTGGTGCTGATGTGCGTGTATATTTTCATTGACGCTGACAGCTGAGATTGGATCCTACGTGACTCTCTACGATGCATGAAAAAAGAATTGCTCGAAAGCTTACTTAGAGAGGAAAGTGCTATAAAAATTGTCACAGATTCTTTTCCAAAAAATGCACTCTTCAAGTTTCAAGTATATGAAAAGGACAGAAGTCAGCAGAGAAATACACACTCTGTATGTTTTTAGAAGTCAACGGGACAAAAAGAATTTAGGGTCCGCGACACTTGTATTACTGTACCACGCCAAACTAAATATTGCCAGGCAAAACGGCTATGCCAAACAAAACATATCATTCTGCTGCATTTTTTAGCAAATAAACCGCGACGCGAACTATCAGGAAGTACGAAAAAAAGAAAAATCTTTTGCACCCAGGTTTTTTTTGTACTACCCGTGAGAATGCAGAACAGAGACCAGCAAGACAAAGCATAGCAGGAAATCATCACATTCATTCAAAGTGTGTTCTTTGGTAGGAAAAATTCAAACAAAGCTTCTTCCTCGAGCAACGTTGATTCAGTTATCGAATGTTCGCTTATATGTAAATTATTTGGAAGTTTATACAGAGATTGCCACAACTTCCAAAAGTAAACGTGAAAGCCGAGATCTCCGAAATGACCGAATTACAACCCGGGATTATATTGTTTGTTATGAACATCGCAATTGCAACCGGTTTTTAATCTCATGCGGTGAAGTTTTTCAATGGAGCCAATCAAGTTCAATGTTAAGGCGTCAATTCCCTGCGGACGTGGGAGTAACCAATCGGCAACTCAGTTCAAATTCTGAACTAATTTTTCGCATGGAAATGAGGTTGCTTGCTTGTTTGACCAGAGGTCCGTCTCGGGAGCCTTATCAAACATATTAGGTATTTTGAGAACGGCACCTCTGGAGCCAGGGTAGTGTTTAACAAAACTTCGTTCTGACCCATTTTCAGTTTTCCTAAAACGCTTTTATCCTAAAACTATTTATCGTGAAAAGTTGCTAGAAGGCATAAGGCGCATACAAGAAATGTGGGACTGTTTTCGAGGACGAATTTTGATCCAGTTTCCAGCGAATCCTCATATCCGGTTTAAAAGTAAATGGAACACGGCTTTTCTGGTCGTTGCAGTGCAAAATTTCCGGGAGCAAAGGAACGATGATTTGAAAAGGTAGTCCTGTTTTTCCGCACGGAGTGTTAATAGCAGAAATTTGCTTTTCATTTATTAAAGCCAATCTTTGATACCAGTTTCAGGCTTTCGCGGCTGTTTTTCGGTAACAGCCCACTTATGTAAATTTCAAGTTTAAATTTTAGGAGCCGTTAAAAAGATATTTTCTCTCGGTATAGCTCTGGCCTTGAGAAAAGGCTAATTTTGTTAGCCGAAATATTGGCCTATAATATATCAGCCCTTTGCCGTAGTCCCAGCCTTGCATTCAGTTTTGTTCCATTTTACGCATCAAGTGACGTCTGGCCACAGCATCTCTTTAATTAGTTAGAGATCTGGCAAGAGGAACCAGTCATTTTTATTTACGCGTTGCGTAGACCTCTGCATTCAAACAGTTTTTCCGTGTAAAAGGTCTGAGCACGATTCCGGAACAAAATTTACTAGCCCTGAATTTTACTTTACCAATTACCCAAACCATGAACCGAACGGTCTGCCCATGTAAATGGTAAACAACCAACAGTTCCCAAAAGGCCAAAACAGTCTCAAAAAGTGAAATTCATCACCGTTACAACATCAGCCCTGTCTCATGAGAGCAACCTTAAATGATGTTTCACCACTGCACTTGATTCAGTTTCCCGACGGCTTATCGCTTCAGGCTGAGTGAACATCTAATTCAATAGACCTTATTTTAGCACAAGTTGTTTTGAATACAACTGATTTTAGTAAAGCTTTTATAACAGTTATAAGAGAATAGTAGGTCGCGTAGGAATGAAGTAAAGGAACCGTGTTGTTAGTCCCTGGCATTCTTATTACTTTTTTGACTCCTGAATAGCAATAGCTAGAATCCCCATACAGACCCTTGTTGGGCAAATATAATTGACACCCTTAAGCTAGGGCTATCTCTGTTTTCAAACGTATTTCAGGTATTTATGAATAGTGAGAGTTTAACTGAGAACTTTACCTTTCAGTTGTGGATGTTAAGCCTGCCATTCCAATGGTAATGGGAGCGAACATTGGAACATCAGTCACCAACACCATTGTCTCCTTGGCTGAAGCTGCCGAGCGAAATGAATTCCGTCGTGCCTTTGCTGGAGCCGTCGTACACGATATATTCAACTGGTTGTCTGTCATTGTGTTTTTGCCTCTGGAAGTAGCTTCCGGCTACTTGCGCCGACTAACTGGAGAGATCATTGACTCTCTCAGTCTCAAAACAGATAAAGGTGTCAACCAAAAGTTGTTGAAAACAATAACGGAACCATTTACAAAGCTTATTATTCAGTTGGATAAAAACGTCATAACGGATATTGCCCTTGGAGACCAATCTGCTGAATCAAAGTCTCTAATCAAAAGTTGCAAGCCGGAAAATGTCACTAAGGTGGTCAATAAGACTGACTTGGTCAATGACGGTAATACAACTTATACAACTTATAAACTTGTGAACGAGTCGTCTACAACAGATCCTCCCTGCTTCCTTTTTGCAGACACTCCACTGAGTGACACAGAAGTCGGTGTCATAATCCTGGTGATAGCTATCGCTCTTCTTTGTGTCTGCCTTATACTAATCGTCAAAATCCTTCATTCCATGCTTCGCGGTCAGATGGCCAAGATCATCAAGAAGACTGTCAACGCAGACTTCCCAGGGCCGTTCAAGTATTTCACTGGTTACTTTGCTATCTTGGTTGGTGCTGGGTTAACAATGTTGGTTCAGTCCAGTTCCATCTTCACCTCTGCACTTACGCCTCTTATCGGTGTCGGAGTGGTGTCTCTTGAGCGCGCCTTTCCCCTCACTTTGGGTGCAAACATCGGAACAACTGCAACGGGCATTCTGGCAGCCCTGGCAAGTACCTCAAACTTGGACAAAGCTCTCCAGATTGCCTTTTGCCATCTGTTCTTCAATATTTCTGGTATCATATTATGGTATCCAGTCCCTTACGTTCGCAAATTGCCTATCAACACGGCAAAATTCCTGGGCAACAAAACTGCTGAGTACCGCTGGTTTGCCTTGGCTTACCTGATTTTTGGTTTCTTCCTCCTTCCTGCAGCTATATTTGGCTTGTCACTGGCTGGTTGGCAAATCCTGCTTGGTGTTGCGGTCCCAATTGTTCTCCTCTTGCTTTTCATCATCATTGTCAACATCCTTCAGAGGAAAGCCCCAGACGTTTTGCCAGAGGCTCTCCAAGATTGGAAATGGCTACCAAAATGGACACGATCATTGGAGCCTTATGATCGTGTGTTTAAAAAATTGGGTGGACTTAAACGATATTGCTGCTGCGGTAGAAATCGGGAGGACTAAAGTGAAAAAGAAAACTCCTGTGACAGCTACAAGCTAAGGGGAAATTATTTGGGTCGGACACAGCTCACAAACACTAATGAAGGCAAAATGATCCTTTTCATCACTTTTACAGTAGCGTGGGTCGAAATTATGTATATAATTTTAAAAGCTGTAAAGTCCACACTTTTAAAAGTGAATTTTGTTGAAATTTTTGTTACAGTTGTTTCTGTTATCATTCTGGTTATCCGTGGCTAGCTTTGGGCGACCACTGGTCACGCGAATAAATTACACAAACGGCTTTTAAATATTGATTAAATTCAAGATGTAGAGATCCCAAGATGTTCAGGCAATAGCCAATCAAGAAATAACGTTTAAGTTAAAATAGTAGTAGTAATTGCTTCCTGGCGTTTTTACAACTCGGATTTGAAATAAGGCATGTATTGCCGATATAATCTCTAAACCCAGTAATTGTCTATTGTATTTTACTATAATAATGATTGCTTAGTGAAGTAAGATACAGTAAATACCCGCAAATAAGAACCTACTTTTTTGAGGTCTGGCAAAATAGCTTATTGTATTTTTGATGATTAAAATTGCAAATTTCTGCCGGGAGGTTGGTAAAACTACTTAGTCCTCGTTTGCGGGTGTATTTTAGTGAGTATAAGTTCAGACACTGATTAATGGTCCAACTTTATTTTGAAACATGAATTAACTCTTAATTGAACTTAGTAGTTCTTGTCTATTTGGAGAAATACAGCTCGTTAGATAACTGAACTACCCTTTTATTCGACATTTGTAGCTACAATGAAAACATCTTATACCCTCACTTTTAGTGTAAGCTTTATTACATTAATAAAACACCTTTTTTAGTATTATGAGTTCATTGTTGCCCCAGGGGTTGGTAGGAAGTACTTCCTATAATGGGCTAAAGGGAGAGGCTCGGAGTAAGAGGTTTGTAAGGGGAGTGTTCTTTTACGAGCTGTGTTAAGCAAAAGAGCAAGATAAACTTCATGTTGGTAGACAAGGATTCTTTGAAAGATTATCGCAGAGAAGCACCTTTAGGACGTTCATTTCTGAATTTATTAATGAGGTCCAGTTCTCGGCCAAAAAATTTCTTCTTTCCGTATGTGCCGTGTTGTAGTCTTATTCGCTCAGAAGCCTTTCAAGCTAATCTTGCAAGGCCTGCGAGAGGACCACGTCCTCTACTATTTACGGGTAGTGTTTAGATTCTAACATCCCAAGGAATTTCATATGAACTTGCTTGCAAGTGTTCCGAGACGGTACCTACGGGTTTTATTGTCCTGATAAGAAATTTCATTACATTTGTAAACCAAGAGCATCTTATTATGGCTTTTGTGTAAACTCAATTGACTTAGGAGAAAGTGTTACCTCTAAAAAGACCCTGGGCGTTGTTCCGACCGGGGGTTCAAACTCGCACCATCCACTACCCATACCGGCGTTTATGCAATTGAGCTAACCAGGGGCGGTTGTAATCAGTTCCTTTCTCCTAGGTAGAAGAACAAAGCAGGATCAGCTTTATCTAGCAGGCTATCTAATGCAAATCCCTCGCAAACAACGAAGGCCCCAGTGGATGTACCCGGTCTTATCTCCCGCGTAAGTTTTTGTCAACAATACCAATTTGAGCACTGAAGCACACCCCGGGGGGATACTCCCGTATATAAGCCATATGGGTATGTGCCGCCCCATCGGGTAGGGTTTTTGAGCCGTTTTGGTCTGAAAACGGATATACGCTTTGCTCATTTTGGTCTGGAATCGTGTATGGTTTTCGAGGGAACTACGGGGTGTATAGACGTATTTATCATTTCAATCCCAAATGAGAAGGAAAGAAAGAGAAATATGCGAATTCGAAATGGATTTGAATAACTTTTGTGTTTGCGCTCTAATCTAAGTAATGATAGCATAATTTCTGCCTAAATACCAGGTCTGAAAACGGGGATGGATTTTAGAGTAGGAGTACCCTCCCGGGAAGCAGGCGTACCAACCCCGCGATACGGTCCGTACCTTATGCATAGACACGACGCTATCACTCCGGTAGTGGTAGCAATGAATAGCTGTTTCTTCCTAATTAGGACTCATCAGCATGGCGAGAGGTCTCGAGACTTCGAGACGAGAAGTCTCCCTTGCGACCATCCACCCCGGCGGTTACTACCGAGAAGAGTGCAGAAACACTGGTTTACTCGCCAGCTCCACCGTAGAGAAGTGGTAGCTGTTGGTTGGGAACCGCAAAACAGTTCTCCCACGGTATGTGATGGAGATGGGATCAGAAAAATTGACCTGTGTGCCGCCTTATTGGTAATTGTTCGTCCGCTTTTGCAGCAGGCGAGAATTAACCGTGCCTGATTGCCCTCTGAAATCTTTCCGAAATATGGTAGTGCTGCAGAAAAGGAGTAAACAATAGCGAATAGATTACGGAGGGCAACCAAGCGCGGAAAATTCTCGCATGCTGTATGGGTATTTGATGTTGTGCTAAACTCGAGACAATAGGAAATTCCAAAGCAAAACCTTAGCCAGATCTATGAGATCTCTTCAGTATTTGCTCAATTTTGCGCCTACGTTAGACAACTTTAAGTTTCTAACGGACACGAAATTCAAGGGGATTTTATAGTACAGTAATCAATTGCAGCACTGAAATTTTTTAAAGGAAATCCATCGACGAATTTTGGTTTAATTGGTGATTTCGTGAAAGTAGCCTTAAAAGTTACAAAAAGAGCTCAGCATTGCGTTTGACTGATTCACATGTTTTGATGTTTTTTCGAAATTGAGCAAGTCTTATTGCGTTTAGCCAGTTATAGAGTGTATAAAGGTCATCATTTGCAAAACGAATGAGCGATAAAAACTTTTCGGAAGCATCCAAAAAGTTGCAAATTTGTCTGCATTAAGTCCAGCCTTCCGTTAATGCATAATTTATATCCTTTTTGTAGAAATTCAAAGATACCTCGAAATTCCTTATACACATTTTTGTGAAGCTTCGCTCAATACCGGGAAGGGGGGAGTGCTGCCATATATGGGCTATATAGGTATGTGCCGCTGTGAAGGGTATGTTTTTCAAGCAGTTTACTCTAGGATAGGGTATATAAATCAGAGCGTTTAGGTCTAGCATAGGGTAGCAATTTTCAGAAAACTGATCAGTTGCTTGAAGATTTTATCTAGACTAGGTATAAGGTTTTGTTTTGGCTAGGCTGTGCTAGTGAGCTCTGTAGTTTCTGGAAAACAGCTAGATAGATAGATAGATAGATAATCTTTATTTATCCACGGTACAAAATTCGTCAGCTTTAAAAATGCCTAATACTAATATAATAAAAATATTTAAATAAAAAAGCTGCTTTCCACGAATGCCGTGCCTTACAGTTCTTTGAGTAGTCGTTTAAATTGCATAAGGGACTCTGCTTCCCTTAAGTTACAAGGAAGACTGTTCCAGAGAATGGCGCCACTATAGCTAAAGCTGTTTTTGTAATAGTTTGTGCGCGGTAATGGAACATTGAGTTTATTTTCAGAGTCCCTTAGGTGATATGCGACTTCTCGCCTTTCAAATTTAGAACTAAGATAGTTTGGAGCCAACCCGTGCAGAGACCTGTAAACCATCGTAGCTCTTTGAAGAGAAGTTTGAAAAGGTGACCAGCATCTACGTCATAGCTTGAGTAGGTCAAAACACGGGCTGCTCTGTTTTGTAGCTTTTGAACCTTATTCCGTAAGGTTATCCCACAGTTTCCCCAAACAATGTTGCAATAATCAAAGTGTGGCTGTATTAAAGCTTGATATATTAGTTGTAAGGTCGCCTGAGGGACAAGGTGCCTTATTCATTTTATGGCCTCAATACCAGAAGCGACTTTCTTTGTTACTTTCTCGATATGGCCACTCCAATCAAGTCTGTCATCGATGGTCACTCCAAGTGATTTTGCAGTAGTGACCTGGCTAACTTCAAAATCATTAATTGCAAATGTCGGGGACTGTGTGAGAGTACTTAGCCTCTGCCTAGATCCGATAAGCATAAATTCGGTTTTAGTCATATTTAGAGTAAGTTTGTTTGCTCTCAGCCAATTGTGAACATTTTCTAAATCCTGATTTAGATGCAACTGAATATTGTCTGCATTATCACCTGCGTACGTAAGGTGGGTGTCATCAGCGTACATCCTCGGCTCACAGTTTGAAAGACAGTTTGGAAGATCGTTGATGTATAACAGAAATAATAATGGACCTAAAATCGTCCCCTGGGGTACACCACAACTTAATAAACAGCTTTGAGAGAGCGATCCGTTGATGGAGCACATTTGAGTACGATTCTCTAAATACGACTTAAACCATTGGTGCGCGTTACCATATATGCCGTAATTGCTTAATTTTGATAAAAGGATCTCATGGTCAACTGTGTCGAAGGCCTTTTTGAGATCTAAGAAAACAACGGCGTTGATTTTACCGCGGTCAATATTGTACGCCCAAGTGTCCGTGGCCTCAAGGAGAGCCGTGACAGTTGAGTGAATAGCGCGAAAGCCTGATTGGTATTTACAGATTATATTGTGCTCTTCTAGGTAGGCATATAATTGATCATAGACGATTCTTTCAAAGACCTTGGCCATAACTGAGATCACCGAAATTGGACGATAATTGTTTAAGTCGTCCCGATCGCCTTGTTTAAACAGTGGGGTGACCTTTGCGCATTTCCAGTCATCCGGAAATATGCCTTGACTTATTGACTGGTTAAAAATATCACGGATAGGAATGCAAATGAGATCTGCACATTCCCGAATGAGCCTAGCAGATATCTTGTCAAGGCCAGCTGCCTTTGACTTATTTAGACGATTCAAAAGTGAGAGAACTTTATTTGCACTGGTCGGATGGAGCTGAAACCGTTTATCTGTGCCAGTGAGGTACTTTTGATAACCATCACTATTTGAGGAATCAATATTGCTAGCAAGTTCTGGACCGATAGTAGCAAAGTGATTATTAAATTGGTTCGACAGCACAGTTGGATTTGTTATTGATACTCCATTTACTTTCAGAGATGTCACCGATTTTTTCCCAGATTTTCGCGAAGTAAGTTGATTGATAGTCTGCCAGGTCTTTTTAGAATCGCCCGTATGCTTGTTAAAACTATTTTGATAATAGGCTTGCTTGGCTAATCTGATTTCGCCATTTACTATATTGCGTTGTTTTTTAAAAAGTGACCAGTCATTTGAATCATTCGATTTACTTGCTTTAATCTTTAGAATATCCCGATCATGCATTCGTTTCTTAAGCTCAGATGTAATCCATGGGGAACTACGCGTGCGAACACGCATTGTCCTCAAGGGAGCATGCTTGTTAACAATAGATAGAAACGAACATTTCCATTGTAGCCACATTTGATTGGGATCAGGGGGATTTGGGGAGTTTACTCTAGTATAGGGTAGCAAAATTCAGCTGAACTATCCCTGGTCCAAGCGGCACATCCCCACCCAGAAATTCCTAAAGTACCCCCCCGGAGCTCAATAGAAGACAAGCACCCAAAGTACACGTAAAGGGTAAAGCATTTCCAAAGAAAATGCCTATAAGGGCAGAAATTCGATTTAGAGCTAAAACTATCGTAACGTCTTTGTCAAACGTCTTGTTCAAACCACAGAGCGCACGTATCATATGACGTTCACCTGCCATAGCGTTCAAGGGCAACTTCTTACTTACAGACCGCGGGTTAGGCGGTCAGCGGAAACGCCAGGACAGACTACCCGCTGAATAAACATCTGGAGAACTCTAGGTACAAGATTGTCTCAAGGGTTGGGGAGTGATCAGGTGTTTTTGCTGTAGCGGCTTCCGAACGGAACAACTAATCCCACGTAGGACAGGAGGGTTCGCCTGAACTTGGGGTCTCTAAAATAGTCCACGTTCGATATCTTAAAATTCTAACATGACTGCGAGGCGTTCTGGGCATTTTTCAATATTTGGTTTGGTTTTCTGTGTGCCCAAGTCGCTTCTGGGAATTACGAGACAGTAGAGTCGTGAAAATGTGCAATTTTGATCCCTTAACCGCCTCGGAGTCATGTTAGTATTTTAATACACCGAAGCTGGGCCATTGCTGGAGTCAGAACCCCACCCTCCACAGTAAATGGACTTACAATTACAAGACAGTACAATAGAGAAATGATGTCACTTATTTCTGAAATTAAGGAATAGCTTGGTTTCTTCAGAAAGGAACGGAAGAAAAATGTCCTCTTGCTTAAAATGAGCATATTGGTGCGAAAAGGTGGGGTAATATAAGCACCGTTATGTTCTGATGACTTCATATCAACCCTCTTAAAATAGGCTTGGATCGTAAACGTTACGGTCCAAGCGAATCTTAGAAGAAAGGTATATTACATATGCACCGAGCTTGTTTCGTTTCTTGGCTTTACCAACGTGGCATACAACATGTGAAGCGCGCCGTTTCGTTTCTGTTAGACTAATGAGGTATACTTTTTTAGTCAATAAGTTATAAAGTCGAACCTCCAATAACGGTCACCTCTCCACTAACGGCCGCCTCTACACAACGGCCACCTCTCTAAAACGGCCACCTCTCCACAACGGCCACATCTCTACAACGGCCACCTCTCCACTAACGGCCACCTCTCAACAACGGCCACCTCTCAACAACGGCCAATTCTCCACAATGGCCACCTCTCTACAACGGCCACCTCCCCACAACGGCCACCTCCCCACTAACGGCCACCTCTCTACAACGGCCACCTCTCCACAACGGCCACCTCTCTACAACGGCTACCTCCCTACAGCGGCCACCACTCTACAACGGCCACCTCTCTACAACGGTCACCTCCCTACAACGGCCACCTCTCCACAACGGCCACCACTCTACAACGGCCACCTCTACACAACGGCCACCTCTCTACAACGGCCACCTCTACACAACGGCCACCTCTCCACAACGGCCACCTCTCTTCAACGGCCACCTCTCCACCAACGGCCACCTCTCTACAACGGCCATCATTCCACAACGACCACCTCTCTACAACGATCACCTCTCTACAACGGCCACCTCTCTACAACGGCCACCTCTCCACAAAGGCCACCTCTCTACAACTGTCACCTCTCTACAACAGCCACCTCTCCACAACGGCCACCACTCTACAACGGCCACCTCTCTACAACGGCCACCTCTCTACAACTGCCACCTCTCTACAACGGCCACCTCTCCACAACGGCCACCACTCTACAACGGCCACCTCTCCACAACGGCCACCTCTCCACAACGGCCACCTCTCTATAACGGCCACCTCTCCACAACGGCCACTTCTCCACAACAGCCACCTCTCTACAACGGCCACCTCTCTACAACAGTCACCTCTCTACTAGGGGCCACCTGTCAACAACGGCTACCTCTCCACTAACGGCCACCTCTCCACAACGGCCACCTCTCTACAACGGCCACCTCTCCACAGCGGCCACCTCTCTACAACGGCCACCTCTCCACAACGGCCACCTCTCCACAACGGCCACCTCTCCACAACGGCCACCTCTCTACAACGGCCACCTCTCTACAACGGCCACCTCTCTACAATGGCCACCTCTCTACAACGGCCACCTCTCTACAACGGCCACCTCTCCACAACGGCCACCTCTCTACAACGGCCACCTCTCCACAGCGGCCACCTCTCTACAACGGCCACCTCTCCACAACGGCCACCTCTCTACAACGGCCACCTCTCCACAACGGCCACCTCTCTACAACGGCCACCTCTCTACAACGGCCACCTCTCTACAATGGCCACCTCTCAACAACGGCCACCTCTCTACAACGGCCACCTCTCTACAACGGCCACTTCTCTACAACGGCTACCTCTCTACAACGGCCACCTCTCAACAACGGCCACCTCTCTACAACGGCTACCCCTCTACAACGGCCACCTCTCCACAACGGCCACCTCTCTACAACGGCTACCTCTCTACAACGGCCACCTCTCAACAACGGCCACCTCTCTACAACGGCTACCCCTCTACAACGGCCACCTCTCCACAACGGCCACTATATTTTGTCGCGGCGGACAGTCCACTCATTTACTCTTATTCCACAACGGCCACCTCTCTACCCGACGGCAACGGCCACTAACGCATGTCCCCAACTGTCAAAATAATCTCTCGACAACAGCTAGTTTTTTCAGCGACTAATGAAAAAGTCATGAATGGTCACGAATTGGCACGTTCATGATCAATCGATCGCGGTAATCGTATTTTGATTTTGCTTCATTTATACTGCCGCAGTAAGCAAACATTGTCTACGATACTTAAAGCTAATGTTGCGAATCTTGCTCGTTTTCTTACGTTATAAACATCTTTGATTCAAGACATAATTCAAGCTTTTTGTGTGTATTATATATGATTGGATTACCATGATTATGGGACACAGTAAACACACAAAAAAACATGTTGTACTCCATAAAAAATTGTCATATAAAACCCCTACCTCCCCATAACGGCCACCTCTCCACAACGGCCACTTCCTTCTGCCCCCAAGGCGGCCATTGTGGAGAGTTTCGACTTTATTATTGAGTCCACAGTAATTTTCTCTATTTATAGGGTGTTTTTCATGACGTCACGTCCGCCATATTGATGTCATCCCAAAACAAGGAAACGGCGGCCATGTTGGTGTCTTAAACCAATCCTATGGGAGTTAAATCCTTTTATTTTGTTAAAACTTATTTTTGCTCCAATAAATTTGTATCTAATCTTCAGAACACGTTACTGAATATGCTCTATACGCCCCACTAAGGTGCAAGACCGGGATTGCAGAAAAGCAGCTTGACCCGTTTGAAAACGTTATAGTAAAAACCCGCGTGTAAGAACCTAGCGATTTAAGAACCTGCTGGCAGAAATTTCCCATTTTTATACCCCAAAATATAAGAACCTGTTCAGCCAAGCAAAATTTATTAGGTTCTTATATGTGAGTTATGGGATATTTTCATAAGCATTTTTAACTAAGAAGTATAAGATACTTTGTTTATAGAGTATATTTAACAATTATTCTTTGAAATCGAGGTTAATAGTGGCTAAATATTTACGGAGCCACGAGGTGGCGAGGTAAATATTCCTAAAGCCACTATTCACCTCGATTTCAAAGAATAATTGTTTTAGTATATACACACGAAGTGATCTCAACAAAATCAGAGAGGAAACCATTAAAAAGTACGATTTGATTGACAGATCAGGTCAGCTAGACACGCGACAGTTTAAAAATAGATCTTTGTAGAATTTTCAAACATGGCAATTCACAAGCTTATCACTTCGCAAACAACAGCGTAATGACTTAAATGGAACCGCTAAAAGTTTTAATTGTTTCCTTATCTGAGAAGAAAAGAAAAGCTTTGTTGTCTTCTGTTGACTCGCCAAGTTTATAGCCGAAAAGGTTTGTTGTTTCGTTCTTCGCATGAAGTGCTGACAAAAATGGCGATTCGGTTCCTCGAGGTAAGACCTGGTCTTCATGTGCATTCTTTCTCGTGTTTACTTGAAACGTAGAATTTCGGCAAACATTTGCTTTCAAATTTGTTTGCCATAAATAAACTTCGTTTTTGGGCCAAATTTTTCTCGTTAGGAAACGCTGAGTTCACGAAACGGCCTCTTCTAGGCGAATAACCGGGAGTTGTAAACAATCCATCGACCAGAAAACCCAACAACAGTAAATGGAAAAACGCCGTTTTGAATCCTTCGAAGACTTTTCTTGCCTGAAAAAAGTCAACCCTAGGATTTTGTCGACTTTTAAAAGATCTTTCTCTAAGAAAATGGGAAAAAAACCGAGCTCAGACATTATCCACGCGCAAGGAGGTAAATATTGTTGAATAGTCCGAGATAGCGAACCAATCAGAGTGCTTAAGCCACCAAGATCACTGAGTGTGTATATATTAAAATTGTTTAGTTAGCCTTGCACAAGGCTCATGACAAGGCAGTTATAAATAAATGCTGTATCATAAAGGACCAAACCTATTTTTTCTGCTTGTACAGGAATGGCTTCTACTGAAAACTTAAGAACCTAATTAAGAACCTACTTTAGCCTAACTTACCAATAACTACCCCCAAATATAAGAACCTGTTTTGCCAAACTTGGAAAAATGTAGGTTCTTACACGTGGGTTTTTACTGTACCGTCAAATGGACTTTTTGTGCCCAACAATTTTTTTCGGCCAAGAACTATCTCCAACTACTAGTGCAACCACTTCTTTTTCGTTTTCTCATTTCCTTTTCCTTCGTTAGTGTGAGTTTGGACCTTATCCAAAGAAACATGCCTATTGTCGCCTTTTCACTCTAAATGACGACAAATTTCGTTAGGTTTGTTTTCAAAATATCGTTAGCTGGACATATATAGAAAAAAAAGTAACTTATTGCAACATATAAGTAATTAGCATCCTTTGTTATCCTCTCAACGTATTTCTGCTATTTTGTAAACTGATCCTCGAAAGAACCTTAAGATCCGAGAACGGCGAGGAGGGGGAGATGTCAGTTTAAAGTATGAATATGAGTGCTAACCAATACGTTTCGTTCGATTGGGAAATCCGGATTTCGGATTTTGAAATGGAACGCGAAATCCGAAAACCGCTGAAAACGGAAGATTTCAATTAAGAAATCCAAATCCGGATTTCATGGATCTCCTTTTTACCGTTCGAATGGGAAATCCAAAAAAGGATTTGCAAAACTATTCTCGTGAACAGAGGTCTTCTTTTTGCTAATTATGCGTGCGCGCCTGGCGTGCGTGTGTAAGACGACTGTTTGTTAAGAACTGTTTATCAATTCCTTTGTCGGATTTCCGCCCCCCCCCCCCCCCCCCCAAAAAAAACCCGAAAGAAATGGAATCTAAGAACAGATATCTCAGCGATTAAATCCGTTTCAGATTTCGCGATCGATTGCAAATCCGAAATCCGGCTTTTAAAATCTAAATCCAGATTTCCTAATCGAACGCACCCGTTAGTCAGTTTACCAATCCTGATAGTCCACGGTTTTGCAGACTTTACACCTTAACTAGCCTAGCGATTCAATTATTTATTCAGTTAACTTTGTAAAAGGAGCAACAAAAACGTACAACTGGCTTGTTTTGCAACATTGCTGAGAAACGAGCTGAAAAGCGATGTTGTTTTATCACCCTCGTTCAAACCGGTTTTAAAACAACCCGCTGATTTGTTGCAAGACAGGTCTGATATGGGTTGTAAAACGCTCCTCAACATCCGGGTCCTCAACAGCGCTATCAGTCAACTTGTTTTACAGCAATGTTGCAATTTTTTGTTGCCTGTTTTACCGTACCATTACGTCCGAGCGATCTAGTCAGAGTCAAGATTGGCTCTTATACTAAAGAAGCTCTTAGAAAACATGACTCGGTTCAGCTATTTATAGTAATAGTTTTTACATGCTGCTCAATTTTAGACAACGTTATTGTAGTTAAGTGCATGAAGAAAATATGACTAAATTGTTACATAAGCTCTTATCACTTAACTTGGCTGGTATTACCTAACACTCCACACAAGCGTTACCTCATTCAATCAACGTCATGATTTAACTCTGATTTGTTTTGCAGAACAAGTAGAAAGCAACTTTGCATATCATCACGAATTTTGCCATCTGCTTATTATCTTAAGTGTGAGAGAGGGTAGCCGGCCGGCTCTCTGAACAAAAACAAACAATGCAACTTTTTAGACTCTTTAAGAAATCGTTTATTGCGGAATTTGGTAAATAAATTCAAGATGCTATTCCATGAGGAAAAGATGTGCGCAGAAAATATGGAATTAATATTAAATTACAGGAAGTATAAACTAGTTTTTTTTTTGGTGACAAACAACAGCTGTTACGTGAGTTCAAGCTATGTAAACTAAGACTTACTTCCGTACGTATTTTCATCAAACCTTATAGTTTAGAATTGAAGGTGATTTACCAATTGGTTTCAACTAAAACAAATAGACTACTTGTTCTCGTTTTCAAAGAGTCAAAGAGTCAACTCAACTCATAGAAAACTCGGCGAACTTCGCAGTGCCGGTGATTAGAAGTGTTGAAATGTTTAAATTAATTACAAGAAACGTGCATGAATAGGTGTGCGGTTCCCATGTAGTTTTGCAGGAGTTTTGCACTGGGCCTTCAATCCTCAAGGCCCCTGCTCACTGAAGGCTGTTATATTACTATCTCTGCATGACTGCATTGTAGCTCCTCCTGTTTTAAGCATAGAACGCGGGTTTTTTTTAATAACACAGCGAAAAGCTAGCCATCCGTTGTAAGGACATGCTTACCTGACCAAGAATAAGAGCGTTACGCAAACGTCATTCTTAAAAACCACATCTTGACGACGCAGAACAATAGAGGCGGCTTTTTTATATTCGAAGAATCTTCCAAATCTCGTCATTAGCATCATGGCGGACTTCACGAGAGGTTCGTCCAAACATGGAGACGTGGAAATGGCAAATCGCAACGGACATTACAATGCAGTAGGTTCTATATTCTCTTTGGCCATTTTTCACTTTTTTTTTACTTGTTGGAAACATTTTTGACTTCCAAAAGTGACTTTTTGCAGAACGAAAACGAAGGGTATCTAGCAGACCCCGGAGAAAACGCAGGAAATAAACCCGGGTGGAAAAGAAATCAGGATGAGGAAGATTTTGATCCTTGGGCTCTGCCCGAACTTCAGGATCTTGGACCAAAATGGTCTGGTAAGTATCGTGTCTGGTTGTATTTTTCCTCTAACTTCGTCATACTACAAAAATTCCGAAAATGACTCCCCAGGGTTTTTACAGGTTTAAAAAGTAATAATGAGGTAATAAATAAATAACTATAATCATCTTTTTCAAAGGCCTCTTTTGTGGGGCTTATGATAGGGAGAAATTTTCGTCTTCAAAATCCCGCGAGCTCGTAATTGTAGGAAATTTGTGTCAACAATTTTGAAAGCACAATAACAGGATTCTAGAAATTCGTGCAAACTTAAACGCCTCAGCACTAACGGAACTTCATTGAAAATAGAAATGCTGGAACTAGTACGTGATATCATGAAAGTAATGCGATGACTTCTGTCGACCATCGATCAAAAAGTGATCAAATAACAGGAAATTAAGTTTTTAGCATCATCATCGTAATTTCAGTTGTAGTATCAGTATTAGGAAAGGCAAAGTATTTTAAAGCAGCTCAGTTGCGGCTTATTCAAATGAAGTCAAGGGATATATTTCTGAAAACAATGAAAAAACGAGAAAAGGAAAGAAAAATAGAAGAAAAAGGAGAAATAGAAGAAAAACGGAAATACCATGCATATAAATAGAAATACCTGAATAAACTGTTGGCGTTATTTTCGCTCTTTTTGGTGCTTACTTTCTTATCACTTAAGCAAGAAACTCGTTTCAACTAGCAAAATATCAGTGTTACGTACAGAGAACAACAACTAATACATAATGCAAACCAGAATAATATTTTCTTTGCAATGCCGATGTAACAATGTCAAAGTATAGCCTCTATCACATCAAATCACAGGGGGTGGGGGTTGGGGGCGGTCATCCAGACCCTTAGATAAGGGGGCGGCCCCCCCGGGCCCCTCCCCTTGACCCCCCACTGGACTTATGATTGAGTGACCGAATCTTTCTGTTTGCTCAACGACAGAGCTCGACAGGTTGGGAAAGTTTCTTCGTGTCGCTTTGTCGTTTACGAAGATTGTCCTACTCCTTGGTTTTCTGTACTTGTTCATCTGTTCGTTGGATTTCCTGAGCAGTGCCTTTCGCCTGTTGGGAGGAAAAGCCGCTGGCGAAGCCTTCGCTTCGAATGAAATTCTCAGCAACCCCGTGGCTGGGCTTATGATTGGCATCTTGGCAACTGTTCTTGTTCAGAGCTCGTCCACTACAACTTCCATCGTGGTCTCGATGGTGGCTGCCGAGAGTAAGTGGTTTTGGGTTTGCAAAAATATTGTTTCAAGTTTTTGGAAGATATTTGCTTGAGTTAACTGTCATTGACATAACGTTTCGGCTTGTCGAATGGTCACCACAGGAAAAAAATAACTGATTCCCATTTTTGGATATTTTAAGGTATTTAAAGAATACCCACAAAAATCCGAATTTTGGAAGAGTGAGACAAGTCCCAATCAGGGAACTTGGTTGGGATTTCCCTGGTTGGGACTTGTCTCACACTTTGCCAAATTTGGGACTTTTATGGGTATTCTTTAAATAACCTAAAATATCCAAAAATGGGAATCGGTTATTTTTTCCTGTGCACATAGCTGATTAAAATGTTTAGCATTTTTAAAATTAACGCATTGTGAGGAGGAGGTTTTTTTTTATTTATGGCCGATAATTTCTTCAGAGAGGAAGTACTGTAGATATTTTGTCGCTCATCGAATAAGCAACATAACGCACTTAGTTTCAGTTGATATTAGCCTGGTAGCCAATAACCAATAACTCTGAAGTTTGTCTTGAACTGTGCAAAAGTTAGAGATGTCAATTTCAAAGTCTGTTCATTGTTTGTTTTTCTTCCGACCATTTCTTTAATTTTTGTCACCAAACCTACGAGCCCCCCGATGCCCTTAAAAATTCCTAAGTTTCAGCAACAGATACTCAATTAGATTCCCTTTGTGGCACATTTTGTTTTTGGAGGGTATTTTTCATGTTTTTTTCTTGAAATTTGCTTCTTGAAGTGTGCTATTTCCAAAAATTAGGTCGAAATTTTGGTTGGAAAATTCATGATGTAGTGCCTGGATTAGTCAATCGATAGAAATCGGTAGCAATCAAGTGATTTTTATCGATTGATAACGGAAATCGATATTATCGATTTTTTATGGTTTTAACGATTTATAATGCAAGTCCGCCATTGTTGTTTTTTGTCATGAAGTAGATAGTACAGCTAAGATAACACATCCACGAGTAACAACTGATCCGGGAGCAACCATGAAAATGAGAAATGTAGAAACTATTACACACAACTTTCTCTAAAACCCTTTATTTTGTACATAGTCACAAAAACGGTTCAGTTTAATTACATTCAGTTCTCGCAGGCAAGTATCACGAGAAATACATCCTTAGCTAAAGAATTCCTAGCCTAAATTTCAGACACACTGTCGAGTCGGGATTCAGGCGAAAAGATTTTCCTGGATATATTTTCACTGTTTTCCGATATCAATCGATAAAAATCACTTGATTGCTAACGATTTTATCGATTTCGATTTTTATTTATTGACTACTCCTGGTCCTCCGGATGTAACTGCACCCGGATCTATACCGACCTCATTTTGAAAGGGTGGTAGAAGGCTAAATCCTAAAAAACTGGGCGCCTACAGACCTGGCTCCAGTTGTTCAAAAGGTGGATAACGCTATCCACCGGATAAAAATCTATCCAGTAGATGGCGCAATTGGTTTCCCTAATACTCAGTATCCGCTGGATAGTGATTTATCCGGTGGGTAGCGCTATCCAACTTTTGAACAACCGGGGCCTAGCAAATATCGGAGATCAGGAGACGATTTTAAAACCTGGCTTTAAAGAAAAGACATTTTTTTTATCAATCAAATTAGATCTACCGATTTTTATCGATTTATCGATTGACAAATCGATACCGATTTTTATAGATTGACTACTCCTGGTGTTTTGGTATGTGCCTGCATCAAAGTGCCATTTCTAGATGGGTAACCGGTCATTTCGCCCCGGTTACTTAGACCCCGGTTTTAGACGAGCACCTCCATATTTGAAGCGCGCTTGTTTTAGTTTATGGCTTATAGAACGAGGAGCGAATAGAGAGCTGTTCCAAATCTAACCAAAACATACGAATAGCCGCATTGTAACTCCTGCCCTTTGCCTTTAGTTTACCAATGAACGTATCGAAGTACGTTCCTGATCCTTTGTCTTGTAAATATCTTAGTTATTATAATAAGGTTAGTTTCTCCTACCATTTGCAAAAACTATGAATCATTCCTCGGTCTCAGTCCAGCAATTAGATCCATAAAAAGTAGTACAAGCAAATTAAACTGGGATTTCCTGATTGGGCCAATTGATCAACTGATTTGTTTTATACCCGGCAGCACGAGAAAAGCATCTTTCGAAAATGTGTCATGCGTTGAGAAAGCGCGTTATTGTTTCGTGGACCGTGAATTGAAGCGAACGTTAAGATGCGTACAGTACCTGTCGCACAGTCATGTTTTTGACCCGAGAAAGTCTTAAATGTAGCTGTTAAAATGTTTCCTACACGCGGCGTGGCGTTGGAATTCTTATCCCTAAAACAGTAAGCTGTGAAGCGTCAACTAGATTCTATTATACAGGCTTTATACTTTCACTTGTTGGTGGACAGAGACCACTTTGCACGACCTCACTATACCACCTCTAATCACTCGCTGATCACGTGCGTTAGTTTTCAAAATCCACGGTTGACTCATCCAATTGTTATGCCCTTTCAAAAGTAACAATTGGCACTTATCACCTTCTCGCGACAAACAGGTCGTTAGAAAACTTGACCATGTCAATCCAAAATACTGAAAAACATTGTTAAAGATTTTAAAGTGACAAATGACAGCAACCAGCAGAATCATTTAAGAATATCCCCAATTATTTTGCCTCATACCTAGTCCCTGGACTTTCTACTTCCCAATCTTCCTCTAATTTCCATAATCAAATATAGTGAAAATATGCAGGGAATACAACGCGCGCAGCAGCTCGCTCATGAATTAGCTATTTTAAACTTTCGCTTGAGACTGGGTCAGTTTTGCGTTGAATGTGATGTCGGTGTTGTCGGGGCACCCAGCGGCGGTTTCCTCCCAAATGCATTGAAAACAATTTTTAGGCTATCCAGAGTATTTTAGACCTCTAGAAATGCTTTATAAGGGGCGCTATTACATTTGTATCTGTTCGGTCATCCTCGGGGACTTGAGTCTTTTTGAAATTACGAGGGCTTCAGTCAGTTATTTTGCCGAAAATTTTAGATGCAATTCAGCGCATTACGAAAGTGAAAAATGTTTTAATTCCTCTCTCCATCACTTTTTTTGAATCCGAAAATTTTAGGTTTCCTTCTTCTTACGAAAAATAGCCTAACCCGGAGTGTGAAAAGTGAAATATTAAACTTCAGAAAATCGTAGGGAATTTATTAGATAAGCTTCGAAAATTGTACAGGAATGGGGCATTCATCTAGAACTTTCTAGCCGTCTTCAAGAAATAGAAAATTTTAGGCAATATTTGATTCTCCGAAAGTATATTTTCGGAAAACGGTCGTAGAGTACCCCCTGTGTTGTGTCGTGTCGAATTGCAGTGTGGCACTGTTTTGGAGGAAGAATTGTGACGCAGTTTCCTCCGCAACATTATAATAATGAAAGAAGTTGTTGTTTACCATTTACAAAAAGTGTCTGGAAAATCCGGTTGAAAACATGGCTTTTCGGGTCGTTGTTGTGCACAATTTCCGGAAACAACGGTACGGTATGCTCCTAGCGGAAATTCGCGTTCCATTTATTATGGCCCATCTTTGATACCAGTTTCAGGCTTTCGCGACCGTTTCTCAGTAGATGAAACTGATTTGTACAAATGGTAAGCACTACTGCACTCCAAAGAGTTTCCTCGACGGCTCTGAACATCTCATTCAATAGACCCAGTTATTTTCACACAAGTTGTTTTGAATGCAACGGATTTTACTAGACCTTTCATAAGAGGGGACAAACTGAATGGAATTAGAATGAAGCAAAGGAACGGCCTTGTGATTCCTTGTCTTATTACATTTTTGACTCCTAAATAGGCTGAATCGCTCAGAAGAATTTCCACCCTTGAGCTAGGGCCGGAGCTAGGCCTACCTCTGTTTTCGAGTGTATTTATGAATAGTGAGAGATTAACAGAAAACTTTACCTTTCAGTTGTGGATGTTAAGCCTGCCATTCCAATCGTAATGGGAGCGAACATTGGAACATCAGTCACCAACACCATTGTCTCCTTAGCTCAAGCTGCCGAGCGAAATGAATTCCGTCGTGCCTTTGCTGGAGCCGTTGTACACGATATATTCAACTGGTTGTCAGTCATTGTGTTCTTGCCAATGGAGGTCATTACTGGCTACCTGCGTCGATTGACAGGAGAGATTATTGGAGTTCTTGATTTGAAACAGGCTAAAGGAACCAACAAAAAGCTGCTCAAGACTGTCACACAGCCATTCACCAAGATGATCATCCAGTTAGACAAGAACATTATAAAGAAGATTGCCCTTGGCGACAAATCGGCTGATTCAAAGTCCTTGATCAAAAATTGCGAACCTAAAGTAACTATTGAAGAAGTTAATAAGACTTTCAGTAACTCAACTTATTTCACTTATGTGCTGGTAAATGAGACAAAAGAAACACCAGCCAAGTGCAAGTTTCTTTTTTCCGGCACAACGTTGAGTGACACAGAAGTGGGGATCATAATCCTGGTTGTATCCATCCTCCTTCTCTGCATCTGCCTTGTGTCAATCGTCAAAATCCTTCATTCCATGCTCCGTGGTCAGATGGCCAAGATCATCAAGAAGACCGTCAACGCAGACTTCCCAGGGCCGTTCAAGTATTTCACTGGTTACTTTGCCATCTTGGTTGGTGCTGGGTTAACAATGTTGGTTCAGTCCAGTTCCATCTTCACCTCTGCCCTTACGCCTCTTATCGGTGTCGGAGTGGTGTCTCTTGAGCGCGCCTTTCCCCTCACTTTGGGTGCAAACATCGGAACAACTGCAACGGGCATTCTGGCAGCCCTGGCAAGTACCTCAAACTTGGACAAAGCCCTCCAGATTGCCTTGTGCCATCTGTTCTTCAATATTTCTGGTATCGTATTGTGGTATCCCATTCCTTATGTTCGCAAATAACCTATCAACACGGCAAAATTCCTGGGCAACAAAACTGCAGAGTACCGCTGGTTTGCCTTGGCTTACCTGATTTTTGGTTTCTTCCTCCTTCCTGCAGCTGTATTTGGCTTGTCATTGGCTGGTTGGCAAATCCTGGTTGGTGTTGCGGTCCCAATTGTTCTCCTCTTGCTGTTCATCATTATTGTCAACATCCTTCAGAGGAAAGCCCCAGACGTTTTGCCAGAGGTTCTCCATGATTGGAAATGGCTACCAAAATGGACACGATCATTGGAGCCATATGATCGTGTGTTTAAAAAATTGAGTGGACTTAAACGACATTTCTGCGGCGGTAGAAATAGGGGGGACTAAAGTGAAAAGAAAAGTCCTGTGACAGTTACAAGCTAAGGGGAAATTATTTGGGTCGGACGCGTACAGAAACCCTCATCAAACACTGATGAGGACAAAATGATCTTTTTTTCACTTTTATTTAGCGTAGGCCACAGTTATGTACGTAATTTGAAAAGTTGTAAAGTCCACACTTTTAAAAGTAAATTTTATTGAAATTTTTGTTGCAATTGTTCCAGTTATCATGCTGGTTTTTCATGGCTAGCTTTGGGCGACCACTGGGCACACGTATAAATTACATAAAACTTTTATAGTAGATTCTATTCAATATGTAGAGATCCCAAGATGTTTAGGCAATAGCCAATCAAGAAATAGCGTTTCAGATCAAATCGTTGTGGTAATTGCTTAGCCTTCCTGGCGTTTTTACAACTCGAATTTGAAATAAGGCATGTCTTGCCTATATAATCTCTAAACCCAGTAATTGTCTTTTGTATTTTACTATAAATAATTGTGATAGTTGCTTAGAGAAGTGAAATAAAGTAAACACCCGCAAATAAGAACCTACTTTTTTGAAGTCTGACAAAATAGCTTCATGTATTTTTGGGTATTAAAATTTGCAAATTTCTGCCAGGAGGTTGATAAACCACTTGGTCCCTATTTGCGGGTGTATTTTAGTGAGTATAAGTTTAGTCATTTTAAAATGGCCCAACCTTTTTTCGAAACATGAATTAACTCTTAATTTTACTTAGTAGTTCTTGTGTCGTTGGAGAAATACAGCAATTCAGCATTTGTAGTTACAATGAAAACATCTTATACCCTCACTTTCAGTGTAACTTTGATTACATCAATAAAACACCTTTTTGAGTATTATGAGTCCATTGTTGCCCCAGGGGTTGGTAAGAGGTACTTCCTATAATGGTTCATTCCTGGATTTATTAATGACTGGTCCAGCTCCCGGCCAAAAAATTTCTTCTTTCCGTATGTGCCGTGTTGTAGTCTTATTCGCTCAGAAGCCTTTCAAGGTGATCCAGCGAGGCCTGCGAGAGGACAACGTCCTCTACTATTTACGGGTAGTGATTAGATTCTAACATCCCAAGGAATTTCATATGAGCTTGCTTGCAAGTGTTCTGAGACGGTACCTACGGGTTTATTGTCCTGATAAGAAATTTCATTACATTTGTAAACCAAGAGCATCTAGGAGAAAGTGTTACCTCTAAAAGACCCTGGGTGTTGTTCCGACCGGGGGTTCAAACTCACGCCATCCGCTACCCAATCCGGCGTTTATGCAATTGACCTAACCATGGGCGGTTGTAATCAGTTCCTTTCTCCCAGGTAGTACACCAAAGCAGGATCAGCTTTATCTAGCAGGCTATCTACTGCAAATCCCTCGAAAACAAAGAAGGCCCCGGCCGATGTACCCGGTCTTAACTCCAGCGTAATTTTTTGTCAACAATACCAATTTGAGCACTGAAGCACACGTACCTACCCCGCGGTACGGCCACTACCTTACGCATGCGCACGACCATATTACCCAAGTAGTGGTATCAATGAATAGCTGTTTCTTCCTAATTAGGACTCATCAGCATGGCGAGAGGTCTCGAGACTTCGAGACGAGAAGTCTCCCTTGCGACCATCCACCCCGCCGGGTTACTACCAAGAAGAGTGCAGAAACTTGACTGGTTTACTCGCCAGCTCCACCGTAGAGAAGTGGTAGCTGTTGGTTGGAAACCGCAAAACAGTTCTCCCACGGTATGCGTGTGGAGATGGAATCAGAAAAATAGACCTGTATGCCGCTTTATTGGTAATTGTTCGTCCGCTATTGCAGCAGGCGAGAATTTACCGTTCCTGGTTGCCCTCTGAAATCTTTCCGAAATATGGTAGTGCTGGAGAAAAGGAGTAAACAATAGCGAATAGATTACGGAGGGCAACCAAGCATGGAAATTCTCGCGTGCTGTATGGGTATTTGATGTTGTGCTAAACTCGAGACAATTGGAAATTCCAAAGCAAAACCTTACCCAGATCTATGAGATGTCTTCACTATTTGCTCAATTTTGCGCCTACGTTAGACAACTTTAAGTTTTTAATGGACACGAAATTAACGGGGATTTTGTAGTACACTAATTAATTGCAGCACTGAATTGTTTAAAGAAAATCTATTGACGAATTTTGGTTTAACCGCTGATTTCGTGAAAGTAGCCTTAAAAATTACAAAAAGAGCTCAGCATTGCGTTTGACTGATTCACGTGTTTTCATGTTTTTTCGAAATCGCGCAAGTATTTTTGCGTTTAGCCGGTTATAGAGTGTAACTAGTGTATAAAGCTCATTTGCAAAACGAGTGAGTGTTAAAAATCTTTCGGAAGCATCCAAAAAGTTGCAAAGTTGTCTGCATTAAGTCCAGCCTTCCGTTCATGCATAATTTATATCCTTTTTGTAGAAATTCAAAGATACCTCGAAATTCCTCATACGCATTTTTGTGAAACTTCGCTGAGTAGAAGACATGCATCCAAAGTATACGTAGCTTAAAGCATTTCCAAAGAAAATGCCTACAAGGGCAGAAATTCGACTATTGTGACGTCATTGTCAAATGTCTCGATCAAACCACAGAGCGCACGTATCATTTGCCGTTCACCTGCCATAGCGTTCAAGGCCAACTTCTTGCTTACAGACCGCGGGCTAAGCGGTCAGCGGAAACGCCAGGACAGACTACCCGCTGAACAAACATCTGGAGAACTCTGGTACAAGATTGTCTCAAGGGTGGGGTATGACATGCACAGGAGGGTTCGCCTGAACTTGGGGTCTCTAAAATAGTCCACGTTAGATATATTAAAATTCTAACATGACTCCGAGGCTTTCTGATCATTTTACAATATTTGGTTTGATTTTCTTTTGCTCAAGTCTCTTCTGGGAATTGCGAGACAACAGAGTCATGAAAAATGTGCAATTTTTACCCCTTAACCGCCTCAGAGTCATGTTAGTATATTAATATACCGAAGCTGGGCCATTGCTGGAGTCAGAACCCCTAATGGACTACTAGTGCGACCATTGCTTTTTTTTTCTGATTTCCTTTTCCTTCGTTTGTGTGATTTTGGACCTTATCCAAAGAAACATGCCTATTGACGCCTTTTCACTCCAAATGACGACAAATTTCGTTAGGTTTGTTTTCAAAATATTGCCAGCTGGACATATATAGAAAAAAAATAACTTATGGCAACATATATGTAATTAGCATCCTATGTGATCCTCTCAATATATTTCTGCTATTTTGTAAACTGATCCTCGAAAGAACCTTAAGATCCGAGAACGGTGAGGGCAGGGAAATGTCAGTTTGGAGTGCCGTCCGCGTCGTTGGATCTTTTAAGTCCCTATCAAAGCACACATGCCTAATCAGCCTGATCTCTCTTCACTTACCCTCCGTTTCAGCTGAAACAGAAAATAACAGGTTTGTTTATGCGGTTATTATTTTAAATATCGAAGGAATTTCCACAGGAACGTAAAAGAGTATACTTAGAAGAAGAGGAAAGATGACATAACCTCTTTACTATATTTTTAATTATGCTAAAAGTTCCAATATTTGACCCAAAAATGATCGGCATGACCACTAAAACTGCAAGAAACACGTTCTTAGATAAGTTAGTATCAAAAGTTTCCAGCAGGAGATATAAGTTGAAAGATTGTAACGTTCTACAAAAACGGACCGATTGCATTTAAGGCGCGAGTTGGAAGAATAAAAAAGGAAAATTTTCTTAACTGATAGTATGGACTAAGAATAGATAGGATATATCTCATTATTATATTAGTCTGGGAGCGCGAGAAAAAAACGCAATCGAACGTACAGAAGAGTATGAACCGTTGAAGCGACCAATCACAGATTCATACTAACTGAGAGATCTGAAAGAACTTTATAAGCAAGCACGACGGCGACAGCAGCGAACGCGTTTGGCTAAAAATAACATCGTGATAAGGAAATCAAGGATAGCTTTATTCGAATTTGTTCTGATAATTGTACTCACTAACTAAGTCGAGCCAAGGCACACGAGGAAGGCTGACATGATAGTTAACTAACTACCAGCCACCGAATTGAGGACGCTCAACAGAAAACTGAAAGATGGGCAGTGTTCAACATTGGGAATTGAAAAATATCCAGAACTCAACAATATCACTTTATATTGAAACAGACATCTTAAGTTAGTACCAATTGCCCTATGATAATATAATTGACATTTTCTTTTTAAGAACTTGATCTTTCTCTAGAAAATGTCTAATCAGGATAACTAAATTGGAACGATGACCTAATTTCCTTAATTCGTCCAGTGATTTACTTTTCTGAGTAGTCTTAACATTGTCTTAATACCCAGCGGTTAGGGAATATTGGTTAAGGGTTTTCCTTTGAAATTCGGCCCGGTCCATCGCAGGTTTCACGAATCTTTAAATTAGCTTTGGCCTTCGACATCCGAAAAAAGGTACTAGTTTGAACATATTTTCTTGAAGTATTTCATGACCGTTGGTCTTGCTTTGTGGGACAGTAAAAAATACAAAATAAAAAAATACAACCTCTGCTCCAGCAAGTGAATATTGAGACCTTTACACTACTGTGTTAATTAGGATGAAGCTACAGCTTAAGAAATTTACAGTGATAAAATGTTTGGATTCTCTTCCTTAAATAGCCTAAAACAAAAACCCTATTACGATAGCCATAAGTTATGGCGCGTCACAGAGAAATGAGGGGCGTGATTTGCCGATTCGTTTGATTTATGGGCTCCTTGCACGAAAATGGTGTAGGGCAAAGTCAGTAGTATAAATCCTTTTTTTTGGTAGGGTTTTAGTCGTCAGAATATGCTGTTAGAAAATGTTTTGCGAGAATTTTATTATAGAATGGAGTAGTTTGGATTAGAGGCTCGGAGGTGCTGTAAGCTGATCAAAAAGGTCAGTTTGTTTTTGAGAACGTCATTTGGTACCCCCCATTGTGAGACCAAGTGTACTACACTGTATGGGGTTCTTAATTGTACAGCTATACCATAGTAGTCATCAGGGGCACCCAACGACTGTTTTTCTGTAAAATATCTGTTCGGAGAAGCACATATTGCCCAGAATTTTCTTTTGCTTTAGGACCACTAAAAATTTCCAGATGAACGTTCCATTCACGTGCAATTTTCGATGCTTATCTAATAAATTCCCTACAATACTGCCCAGGTTACACTATTTTTCTTAGAAAAAGGAAATCTAAAATTTTCGGATTCTAAATTGTGATGGAGAGAGTTATCAGAAAAATTCTCACTTTCGTAAAAAGTTAAATTCGACCTAAAATTTTCGGAAAAAAATACTGAAGCTCTTGCAATTTCGAAGACTTAAGTTCCCCTAGGATGACCGAACAAACAGAAATTTTTAAGCGCCTCTTAGAATGCATTTCTAGAGATGTAAAGGTACTCTGTATAGCCTGAAAAGTGTATTCATCGTATTTGGGAGGAAACCGTCGTTGGGTGCCCCTGAGTCATGGTAAGAACAGAGTCAGAACCATCCAATCGTAGATGCGGTGTGCTCCGTGAATAGAATTGCTATGATTTGCAACAAATAGTTTAATGTTTGGGGATAATAGGATACAAGGCCTCTTATCATTACATAAGAAAATCAAATATGTTGCTTCAAAACCGGGATAGGACAAGTCCCCGTAACTCACTGAATCACGAAAGGTCAAGAAAAAAGGTCATTTACAGGGGATAAATTAATTCAAATTTGGTCCATGCGGCCGGAGACATAACGTGACCCTCACTGAATCACGAAAGTCAGGAAAAAGGTTACAGGGGATAAATCAATTCAAATTTGGTCCATGCGGCCGGAGACATAACGTGACCCTTCTTCCCCGCTGAAACTCATTTTTCACAACGTGATCCAGAAAAGGAGAAAAATGGGAAAAGAATACACTCTTCTTAATTTTAAAAAAAATATACCTTCACATATTCGCTATTGGCAATATCCATGTAAGCAGCAGTATCGTGACTTGCATACAGCTGTCATATCAGATCACATCACTTGACAAGACTTTTATCAGGCTTCCATTTATTGTTTGACCAATACTTAAAAAAATCACGCATAAGTATGTTGATGTTGATGCCGGACGAAGGCGGTTGGAAGACTGAATCACTGACGTATTTTTTAAATATTTGCCCAATCGCTAGGACACTAGAACAAACGTTTTTAGGGCATAAAACCAGTTCGCGTAGAATTGTCGTCGTACAGCACTTCTGAGTCTGGCTAACTCTCTTGCTCATCATGGCGGACATTACAAGAAGTTCATACAACCTTGCTAGGGACGTTGAAATGGCAAATCGTGGCGAACCTTATTTATCGGTAGGTAGCATGTTTATGATAGACATTTGCTTCTTAGTAACATCTTACACTTCTAATAACCACTTTACACAGGGTGAGAACGAGGGCTATCAGGCGGATGGCGACGAAAACGCACGAAATATACCGACACATGTACGTGAAGGGGACAAGATCGATGAAGATTTTGATCCTTGGGCGTTGCCTGAACTTCAGGACTTTGGGCCAAAGTGGTCTGGTAGGTTGCGTGCAATTGTTTATGTTGCCACGTTATCCGTCCTTTTATTTAAAATCCAGGGTACAGAGTGCAAGGCTTTCGTGCGGCGAAACCTTACAAACCTTTTGTGCTTTATTGCAACAATACTCGGACCGAAATATTGAATAACAGCAAGACTAAAGCGCTAGACTTGAATGTAGAAACAGGTTTTATGCAAAATGTTTAAATGGCAAACGCTTCCTGATGGCAAAGCGATGAAAAAGTAAACGAGATAATTAACAAAAAATTTATTTTAACAAATTTGCCCGATACATATCAGTCTGTTTGAGACAAACCTTCTTCGGGTGCTAAAGAACAATAAAAACCTTTGCTCCTGAAGAAGGTTTGTAGTCCAAAGCGAAATTTTGGGGAAAATTGTTTACTTCTTCGTTCATGTCAGCCCGGCTTTTGTATTGCATGAAAGAACCGATGAGAAACGTAGAGAAAGTATGTCAAATTTTGATTACGATTTTGCAAATATCAACATGAAGCAAAATTGCAGAAGCTTATGTATTCGAAATTTAGAACGATCTTACAATACTCTGCAAATTATCCCTTCTTCATGAACTGACCACGGTGGTAATGAGAAATTTACATAAGCAATATTACGCAATAGCAGTTTGCCGGTTTGATGTAGCCAATTACAAAGCAGTTTATTATTATTAATAATAAACAAATAACAAATAAACACGTATGCTTCTGTAATTAAATTACAGAAGCATACGTGTTTATTTGTTTAAACCTCCTCCATTTTCTAATTATTTCTCCATATTGTCAACTTTGTGAATTAATCGTTTGTAAGAAACCTACTTGTAAGTGCGTAACATGCGTATTTACGATTTTCCAGCTATTGCTGTAACATAATTAAAGACGCTTTGACAGCAAAAGTGACAAAACGTCAACGCCAAGTCACGCAAAAATGGCAACTTGATTGTTGGTCACAAAAATATTTTTATCAGCATGACATTGAAACAGGGCTGGGAGTATGGCGTACGATCCCCGCCAAAATTTATTGTTTGAATTTTAAATTTATCATTTAAATTTCTACTTGAATTTTATAGCCGAACATAAAATTTTACACTCTTCCTTCAGATTTCGCATCATTGGAAAACGTTTTTACACTCGTCTTTTATTTTTTAAACTCTATTTGACCTTCCTCGCCGTATATTTTCAACTCGCTTCATCAAATTACACTTGCCAAGACATATTTCAAACTCGATTTTGAAAATTTTCAACACGACTTCTGAATTTTCGTTCACACCTCAGTGATCGTTGATGAAGACCATCTGTCGGGGGGTGGGTCGTGGGTGGCTCTTTAGTCCATCATGCTTTGCGCCTTTTGTACAAACATACAAATGATCAGATAAATCTGCTCTCTCGTGGATTAAAATTTGTCCCTACGCCTATAACAAACGAAACCTCATTAAGAGAACAACTCTTTACAGACTTCAAAGATTTTGCTAGGAAAATGCGGCTCCAGTTTATATATCACGGCAAGGACAAAAACATCCACCCCTTCCACGTTAACTCAAATTGAGAACCACCAGTTGAGCAGTCTGTTACCCTAGAGAGCTATCTAAAAGAAATTAAAATACAAATTGCGCTAACACCGATAACCAAAGCCATACCCAACCCACCGCTAAATGAGAGAAAAGTTATCACAGAGCTAAAAAATAACTCTGAAATAAACGTCAAGAAAGCGGATAAAGGTGCTGCCACAGTCATAATGAACAAAAAAGGGGCAACTTTCCAAAAAGTAAAACAAATTGTCGAAGAACTACATCAGGGAAGTTTTATGGACGAAATGACTTTTAAATGGTTATCACAGACACCTAACCCACTCAGAATACCTGTCTTCTACAGTCTCACAAAGATTCATAAGCTAACTCCTGTTGGCCGACCTATAGTGGCAGGAAACGACGGACCCACCGAACGAATATCATCATTCGTTGATAGCCTACTTCAGCCAATAGCTAAGTCACAAAAGTCCTATCTTAAGGACACAACTAACTTTGTTAACTTCATAGAAAGGAGAAACCTCCCAGAGGACGCTTTCCTAGTCTCCTTAGACGTTGCTAGCCTGTACACAAATATCCCACAGGAAGAGGGAATAAACACAGTATGCAAAGCATACCAGACTTTCTACGGGGAAAACATCCCTATCCCCACCCAATCCCTCAGAAGAATCCTTAAACTTGTTCTTCAAGAGAACTCCTTTGAATTCAACGGCAAAAACTTAAAGATCTCCAAACACACGTAACCGCAATGGGTACAAAGATGGCAGCCGCCTTTGCCAACATCTTTATGTCGGTGGTAGAGACAGAAATATTGAACCTCGGCAAAACTAAACCTCTTGAGTGGAGAACTGAGAGAAAGGAGATAGATGAATTCAATGCTCTTGCAAACAGGCATCACTCTTCAATTAAATTTACGGCAGAAATATCTGATAAAGCGATTTACTTTCTGGATACAACTGTTTACAAAGGCGAGAGATTTCACAACCAGGGAATCCTTGACATCCGCACACATTTTAAACCTACAGAGACTTTTAAATACACGCATTTCTCTTCTTGTAACCCTCACGGGGTCAGAAAAGGTCTCATAAAGGGCGAAGCCCTTAGACTTCTGAGAACTAACTCGTCAGCTAAATCCTTCTATGAGAACATCTACAACTTCAAAAAACGCCTTCGCGCTAGAGGTTACCCTCACAATCTAATAGAAATTATCACCTCTGAGGTTAAATTTACCGAACCGAAGTCAGCTTTACAAAAGAACAATGAAGTGCGAAAGAAAATTCTGCTTTTCGTTACCACGTACCACCCTGCTTTGCCAAAACTTAAAAACATTTTAATGAGCAAATGGCACTTAATTCAAGATCAACCACTACTGAGAGAAATATACAACGAGCCTCCCATCATTTCATATAAAAGAGCAAAACCGCTGTGAGATATCCTCGTTAGAGCAAAACTATAAGGTCACGTATCACACTATCACGAGCTTATGAGTCGTGTTTGGCACGTCAACACCTTCCACCTATCTCTGTGCGCTCGATAAACATGTATGGCGGATCCTATGCCAGCCAAGACAGAATCGAGTAAATCCACACAGTTTATAATAATACGATTTAAATACTCCAATCGAAGCAAAATTCCTCTATAATCACCGTCCTGATAGGAATCTAAACGCTCCAAAGTTTCTTGTACAACAGCAAGTGCGAACGCTGCCGCCATTTTGAAATATGACTCGGCAAGTGTAATTTGACGAAGCGAGTTGAAAATATACGGCGAGCAAGGTCAAATAAAAGAGTTGAGTTTAAAAAATAAAAGACGAGTGTAAAAACGTTTTCCAATGATGCGAAATCTGAAGGAAGAGTGTAAAATTTTATATTCGGCTATAAAATTCAAGTAGAAATTTAAATGATAAATTTAAAATTCAAACAATAAATTTTGGCGGGGATCGTAGGCCATAGGGAAGTCTTGCACTTATTGACAGAGTCGTTATGTTCGCATGCCAACAGAACTCGACGCCAAAGGAAAGTTCTTTCGCGTCGCCTTGGCGTTTGCCAAGGTTGTGCTTCTCCTTGGTTGCCTCTACTTGTTCATCTGTTCACTGGATTTTCTAAGCAGTGCCTTCCGCCTGTTGGGAGGGAAAGCGGCAGGCGAGGCCTTCGCCTCGAATGCAATTCTTAGCAACCCTGTGGCTGGTCTGATGATTGGCGTTCTGGCAACTGTACTTGTTCAAAGTTCTTCCACCACAACTTCCATCGTGGTCTCAATGGTGGCCTCTCGGAGTAAGTGTTGTATGAGTCTTGTATGGATAAGATGTAATTTATAAGGATGTTTTAAACCTGCAGTTACTACAAATATACGATTTAATTTGGCGTCCAGAATTAGGCGGCCAAAAGCAAAAATCTCAATTGATTTGTGAACAATAATTTTTGGCTCCAATTCCTATATTTTGTCGCCCATAAAGGACGCAATACAACATTTAACAATTAGCCCATGCGTCAGCGTGCGTATGTCGAGATATTGAGCATGCGGGAAGTTTGGAGAGCACGAAAGAGGGATGCGCCGAGAGCAACTCTAGCCTCTTGAGTGCTCTCCAAACTTTGCAAGTGCTCAATATCTCGACATAAGCACAGATGAAGCATGAACTAATTGTCTTATCACATTATCAAAGCGATCAATGCAGCAGTAACTCAAATTTTTATTATTCTAGCGCTCGCACAAAGCAACACGTGTCTATGTTTGCGTGACAATATTACCTTCCAGTTATGTTTTTGTCTTGAAACTGACAGAAAGTTTACTCAAGTCAGTTAAGATAACATTAAAAAAGATTGTAACATCCATATTGAGGTGCCGGAGAACTTGTAATTCACCGAAAAATTCTTTTTGAAAGAAATAACTTTGCAAAGAGTGATTTGCACACGCCATAGCCTACACGGCTCGCGCAGATGACAACAACAACAACACTCAGCTTTTCCCCCTACTATCGGTTAACAAATTCAAAAGGTTTCTCCTAAATTTACGTTAGAAAACACATGGTTAACGCTTTATCGTGTACTGTTGAGTTATGGATGCACTTGAGAGACGTCTTTGGAGGATTGCTAAGCTCACAAGTACGCAAAAGAACTCGAGGTATAGTTTATTGACGTCATCAGCGTGCTCAATGGGAATATGACGCACACAAAAAAATGCTCATAGTGTTTAACTTTTGCCCAAAACATAATCGTGGAAAATCATTTGGTGGGGGCTGTAAATTGTAGTTTGGGCTAACGAAAATGTCTCAAATGTGCCAACCCTATCTGTCAATCCTTCATAGCGTACACACCCACCCGGCCTGAACCGGAGTGATTAGTTTAAGAAACGGACTTCAAGTCAGAAGTCTAACTTTCCCTTTATCCCAACCTTAGGTCACCCTGTTTGCCCTTATTACTGAGAGCCTAAGCAACGACGACCACGGCGACAATCGCGTCCATTTGGACCCGCTCAATTTGACAAATGTAGGCGACTTTTCCTGGAGTCGAATTTTTAACGAATTGTATCATGTTCAAAATGACAAAGGAAAATTTGTCGTCGTATGCTCACGTCCTCCATGGAACGTCGCACGAGGAGTTTTTACGTCGTAGTCGTGCAGTGGATGTCAAAGAAATGTACTAAACAGTGTGATGCACGTGCAGAGCTGTTGTTTTGCTTATAAACAATTGGTTTTTGACGTTGTTGTTGCCGTGGTCGTCCTCGTGGTTGCTTAAGCTCCCTTTCTGACTTGAAAAACTACCTTCAAAGTGTCAATGTCGAACGTACCATTGAATATCACCACGTTTTCACTTCATCCAGAACTGCAAAATTTATTTTGCTAAGCAGCACGAGCTTCTAATCTGTTAATAATTATAAAATGCAATGAAATCTGCAAAGCACCTAAGTGAGACATTCCAGAGATGACCCGGGCCAAAGTCTATAATTTGGATTGAACCACCAAATTCTTGCAGCTCAAAGCCCTCTCTAACCTGCCATCAAACGGTCCTTCTTCACTTTCGCAGGTGTAGTCCTCTCATTACTTTGCCGTTGAAAATATTGTGGTTATATGACGTTTGCCGTTTACAAAGACGACAAAAAGTGGAAATGTAGTGGCTAAGGGATTTTTTACGTCAGTGCTTCCCCTCATGGACTCACACCGTTTCTCTGCGAGGTGCCTCCAAAAATTCAATTTCAAATTCAAATTCAAATTCAATTTCAAATTCAAAGTAGAAAGACCCTTGAGGTCGTTTTCCATTTACTTTCCAACTGGATTATTTGGAGACGTTTTCTTAAATTAATGGTAAACAACTATAAAGTCACTTTTTCCCTTTCTGTTGCCATGTGCTTTCTTGCTCCTTACAACTCACCAGTATAAAAACCCTCCTTTTTGAGGAACCTTCAAAAGGTTGCCTTTTCGCTTAACCCTTTGAGCCCTAAGAGTGATCATCATCACATTTCTCCTTGTTCAGCATCACATTTCTCCTTGTAATATCAATGCTTTGTAAAACAGAGTGGTCGTGAGAATTACGGACATGATCACGCAAGATGAATTTGTTTGACATTTTATCAACTTCTCCTCACTACTTCTGTAAGAAATGCATCGCGTCAACAAATGAGAATTCAAATTTTGATCTTGGGGTTTAAAGGGTTAATAAGTTCTCCTTGTCACCGTTGTTTAGTAAGTAGAGAGAAGTAATAAAATTGGTTTTTGACAGAAGTATCAAGCAAATCATCGAGGGATTTTAAGATTTTGTAAACCTAGGTGGTGGTGTGACAACCGGTTTTTTGTTGACGCCCCCATAAAGGTAAAGGTAAAGGCGCACACTAGCCAAAGGCCCAAAACGGCCGGAGCTTATTACGGTTTCATTAGCATGAAGCACCTAGAAGTGTTGCTACTCCCCCCGGACGGGATGCTAGTCCATGGCAGGGTTTCCCCCCAACAGTTTGTCGCCAGTACCCATTTATACACCTGGGCCCAGTTGTTCAAAAGCCGATTGGCGTTTAACCTGGGGTTAAATTTAACCCTCGTTTCTTTTTCTTGTGTTCAAAAGCATTTTCTGGGATAATTTTCTCTGTTGTTTTTAAAGCCTCCAATCATCAACTTGTAGACAAAAAGAATTAAAACTGAAATGCTTTTTAAGCTTTCAAATCTGAATTCAAATCTCGCACTAACCCTGGGTTATCTTAACCCAGCTTTAAACAACTCGGCCCTGGGTAAAGAGAGAGAAAGTGGAGTAAAATTTCTCCACTAAGGAAACAACGCGACGGGCGAGGCTTAAACCCCGGATTTCCGGATCCGGAGTTCGAGGTGATAAACACTCGGCCTGACGCCCCTATAGCTAGGAACTAAAGCCAATGCCAAGGATAAAAGGCTATATTTGTATGGGAATTTAAATGAAACAAACGGTGTTAAACTTGTTTATCAATGGTTAGAGGTGGACGAATAACTTTTTCTTTTCAGTTCTGGATGTTGAACCTGCCATTCCAATAGTGATGGGTGCCAATATTGGAACATCAGTCACCAACACCATTGTTTCCTTAGCTCAAGCTGCCGAGCGAAACGAATTCCGTCGTGCCTTTGCTGGAGCCACAGTTCACGATATCTTCAACTGGTTGTCTGTGCTGGTGTTCTTGCCTCTAGAAGTAGCCACCCGTTACTTAGCTCGGTTGACTGACAAGATAATTGAAGGTCTCCACCTGAAAAGAGAGAAGGGTGTCAACCAGAAGTTGCTGAAAACAATAACAGAACCATTTACCAAGCTCATTATTCAACTGGATAAAAAAATCATAACGAAAATTGCCCTTGGAGACAAATCTCTTGAATCAAAGTCTCTCATCAAAAGTTGCAAGCAGAAAACTGTCATTGAGGAGGTCAATAAGACTGTGGAAAATGTTACCACTGGGAGTATAAGTTATAAACTTGTGAACGAGTCGTCTACAACAGATCCTTCCTGCTTCCTTTTTGCAGACACTTCACTGAGTGACACAGAAGTTGGTGTCATAATCCTGGTGATAGCTATCGCTCTTCTTTGTGTCTGTCTTATACTAATCGTCAAAATCCTTCATTCCATGCTTCGCGGTCAGATGGCCAAGATTATCAAGAAGACCGTCAACGCAGACTTCCCAGGACCATTCAAGCATCTCACTGGTTACTTTGCTATCTTGGTTGGTGCTGGGTTAACAATGTTGGTTCAGTCTAGTTCCATCTTCACCTCTGCCCTTACGCCTCTCATCGGTGTTGGAGTGGTAACCATCGAACGCGCCTTTCCACTCACCTTGGGATCAAACATTGGAACAACCGGAACTGGCATTTTGGCAGCCTTGGCAAGTTCCTCAAACTTGGACAAAGCTCTCCAGATTGCTTTTTGCCATCTGTTCTTCAATATCTCTGGTATCATTTTGTGGTATCCAATCCCTTACCTGCGAAAAGTCCCTATCAATGTTGCAAAGACCCTGGGCAACAAGACTGCGACGTACCGTTGGTTTGCCATAGCATACTTGGTGTTTGCTTTCTTCCTTCTTCCTGCAGCAGTCTTCGGCTTGTCGCTGGCTGGTTGGAAAATCCTCCTTGCTGTCGCACTCCCGATTATTCTCCTCTTAGTGTTTATCATTGTTGTCAACATCCTTCAGAGGAAACGCCCACAGAGCTTGCCCCAGGTCCTTCGTGATTGGAAATGGCTTCCAAAATGTACACGGTCATTGGAGCCTTATGATAGAGTGTTTACGAAGATGGGTGAGGTAAAAAAACTCTGCTGCCGTGGCAGAAATGGAAAGGACTAAAGTAAGGAAGAGAGGCGAAGTGGACCTTTTTTTAGTTCGAATAGATTTTGACGATAATTGACCGATTTCCAGCGGAAATTTATAGCCTGAGAAAACAGCCGACATTTCCCCACGACGCCAGCACTGGTTTCCCGCCAAATGGCGTCTGAGGAACGAGTGCAGACATTCCATACTGATGACCCTTCACTAACCAGATCTGGGGAGTGCTTCTGATTGGCCGTGCCGCGTAGGAAATTTGATTCAACCAATCAGAAGCACTACCCAGATCTGAGTTGTGACACGTCATCAGTATAGAATTTCTTCCCTCTTAGACGTTATTTCGAGGGGAAACCAGTGGTGGCGTCGGGGGGAAATGTAGGCTCTTTTCTAGGCAGCTATAATCTGCGAGAGTATTGACCGTGGAAATGACGTTATTATTGTGCAATATGTTATTCTCTTTCTCTCGTTCGTTATTTCACAGGCGGCCCAAGCTCGGTGCATAAATTACCCCGTGTTTCCATACTGTTTAGACTTTGCATGAAAAATGTAATATAGTTGTTAAACTGTAAATCTATAGGCATAATAGGCTCGTTGATTGTTCGGTGTTGTGTTCCTACATAATTAGAAACAAGGCAGGTTACTTTTTGCCGTCTCAACTCAGAAATATCTCCCGCATCAAAGAACCGCGCACCGATTCGCCATGAAAGCGCCAAATCCTTTTAGGCCAGGTGAGTCTCTTATCTCTTCCCTCGTCACAGGGATTACGATGTTTTTTTTTTGTGGGAAAATGTTTCGAAAGTTTTCGGTTCTGGGCAATCTGACGTGCGCTCAGAAAACTCTATGACCTAGTGTTGCGTAGTGTACGCAAACATTTTTTATACGCTCATCCAATTGGAAAATTCCAAACACCGCTCACGCGCAATCACTATCCGAGGGTAGGAAGATCTATGCAGAGTTTTGCCAGTATTGATTACCCGGATCCCCTGATTTCATGTAAGCTTTCACCACGCAACGCGTAGTCATCGAGGTTCCTGAGCGCGCGGGAGGGATTTGTAAGGTGAGACTGCACACAGTAACCTGCCTTGCGTCGCATTATGTAGGGAAAGCAACACCGAACAAACAACGAGCCGCAAAACCGTGTAAAATGGCCATGAATTGAGCCTAGGTTATACAGAAAAAGTAACAGCAAACCCAAGTTTACTTAAGTGAAATTTAATTCTATAATTTTTACTATATTCCTACGTTTTAACAACTAAATTAAACTTTTCATACAAAGTCTATGAATCGTTTTGATATGCAAAACAGTATCAGAACACGCGGTTATTCAAGCAAGGAGCTTGGGCTGCTTGTGGCTATTTCGGAGAAAATTCACCAAAAACTGACGTTACAATCTGTCGGTGTTTATTGTTAACAACCAAATAGACAAATCTTTGGAACGAAACCAGGCGGCGAGTTTGAAAATTTGGATGCCGTGGTCTTTTTAACAAATAGATTTTATGTTGTCGTGCATCTGTTCAGTGGTAGGTACATAATAGGTTACAGATTACGTCAAAAAGTGGTAAGAATAGCCTGCAGTGCAGGCTTTTTCTTTGAGCGCGCAATTTGCTCGCGAAAGCGCCATGTTGAAACTTCCCGAAGAGAGGAGGAGATGAGGTGAGTCAAAGGGAGCGGGGAGGGGGCGGGGAGAGAGAAGAGAAAACGCCGTATTTTTTCTCCCTCCCCCCTTTCCTTCTTCCGCCCTCGCACCTACCGTAAGGGTACTATTTCTACTCTCACAAATTTTCCACTGTCATAAAATCAAAAATGGCGGCTACAACAATATTACGAACACGAACAAGGTTTCGCCCACCCAAAATACGCCTGCACTGCAGGCTATGGTAAGAACAAAGTGGTGACACATTAGCGTCTGAAGAGACGCACGGCAACATAGAATCTATTCGTTTTATCTGACAATGTGCGAAAAAGAAATAACGACCAACTTGCCTCGTACCGCTTTACTGCTAGAAAATTTGGCCAGTTTAGACAATTTCGAACGGGGGCTCATAAACACAAAGTTTTCGTCTTTTACTTGTCGACATTTTCGGCTAAACCTTTTCTTGCTCAAAGCAGAATAATTGCGCAACACACGATGGCGATTGTTGTATAGTTTTTTTGCCAGTTAAGGCATTTGCAAGTCGTCAAGAAACTCTTGTTGTCTCGTTTTCTCCATTTTTCTGACTTGCATTGTATACAGTAGCCGCTCACTTAACTTGACTTGGGGGCCATCGCTTACTTAATAGGACATAATCTCGCAGACAATTTCAAAGCTGTGGGCAATGGTGGACAAAACGAAACAATAAGCAAGCAAACAAACAAATTTTCTGTGACGTCATCCCTGTGTCTGTACTCTAATAGATCATGGGCAACGACTAATAATAGCGCGCGTAGCATTCAGTGTATTGTATAAAAGAGTATAGATTGTGGATAGAGGTTGTTTATTTGTTAAATATACATGAATATGGTAGGAAATATGATATTTAATTCAATAGTTGTGCTGCTAGCTTGCGTCACAATCATTTGGATGAAGCTGAAATAAAATATAGACGCTAGGGAGCCGTTCTCAAAAAATGTATCATTCTCAGACTGAATAAATAGTTTAAAAAATCGACTTCAACATTTAATGAACTAATACGCAGTCAAGACAGGATAGAGGCTGAGGTACAATAGGATTAAAACTCGAGATTATAGTGCTACCCTCTAGGTTACAAGTTATCCACAGATTGAAAATAATGGTTGGGCTGCCTGTGGCACAGCCCAACTATATTACGAGCTTTCTCCGTCAAAAAAATACAAAATTGCAGATAGATCACCCAGAAGGCATTGCGTGCCCTAACCCTTCCCCCCTCCCCCACGTTAGGGCCGCTCATTTGACCTTTCTAGGAAAGGTAATGAGTCATTTTTAGAGGGAAAACATCTGAATAAAATAGACCAACAGACTGATAGACCAATTTCGATATCAGATTAAAATTCATATTCGCTCCGGAGGCTTGAGGGAATGAAACAAGAGAAATCATTTTGAGGCTCAGCATCGAGTGATACATTTCTTTTGTTTTATTCCCCAGGCCTCGTAGCGAATTATGAACAATTGGTCTATTCGATGGACGCCCAAGGGATTTATCTTTATTTTCATTTTTGCCCCCTTTCAATCATCCCTGTCATTTTAACACCGCAGTACTCTCTTTACCCTGGGATATTTAAATTGATCTACACATGCACCTCTGTCTCTCTATTTATTGGGATCGTCGTCGTTATAGAATACAAAATATCTAGACCAATGCCCACACTCGCCTATTACAGGCATCTTGGTTTTTCTTTAAATTTGTGTCTTTTGTGTAAAACAGAGGATTTTTCCCTTTCAGAGAAGTGTCGCGATCTTTTCGACCGATCACAAAGCAATTAAGCAATCACTAAAAAAAATTTAAAGCAGGAATGCTGGAACGGGAAAAAGAAAAATGGGAACAAGACCAGGAGCCGATTAAATTGGCTCCTGACAAGACATAGAGCGGGTAATGGCGTCGATGACGATAGGGCAAGGATTTAAGTCGGGGAAGGCGGGGGGGTGCTTTCCGTTACTTCCGTACCACCCTGCCACAGCTGCCAGCAGACCCTTTCTTTTGGCGTACTCGAGAATCGAGTAAGATCTTTGTTGAGCATGCGTGGCCAGGAGCCGATCACAAGTAATCAGCTCCTGGCGTGGCATGTTGCTAGGGTATAGTTTCGAACTCAGGCCTAATAGTCGTATGATTGCTTCAGCAAGCTCGGTTATGACCCACTGGGTTGTCAATTATCAGATGCTCGCACCCGAAGAAAATCAGTTTAACGAGAGAAGACAATATTGACTAGCCTAGAAATTCGGGCTGCGGCGAATTCAAAGGCTTAACGCGACTAAGACAGAGCTCTTCTCTTCCTTACTCAAGACGGAAATAGGAGGTTCTGGCGAGGGTACTTCCGTGTTGAAAACCGCTTTAAAGCGGGGTGAGTTTAGCCATTTGCTATCTTCTTAAAAAGTACTTAAAAAGCTGAAACGGTCTTCGCACAGATCAATTTAATTCCAAAAATAATGGTCCACTTTTGTTATAATACTACATTTTTGCATTAAAATACTGTTTCCTGTCGTCTGTTGCAACGGATAGCAAGGATAGAAGAGAATTCAAAAATGAAAAATTGGGCCAACTATTCAAGTTTTAGCTATGCCTACCAAACTCACCAAAAATATTATGGTTAGTGTTTCCTGATGAAACTCTAAATCTACAGGAGCATTTAGAGTATAGGTACTAAGGCAACATTCTCGTTGACATAGCCTCCTTTTAAAACATGTATTCTTGAATGAGTAATACAAAATCAAGTGAGTGTGAAGTCGGAGTTGCTGATATAGATCCAATTTTACAAACGGCCAGGGTAGCTGTTGAGTCACGACCGCAATTTAACCTTATTTTCAGAAGAAAAATGTAAAAATAAAAAAAAAAGGAAGAAAAGTAACTAAAGCTGTTTATTTATAGTCCCGAGTCGATAGAACAGATCGAGTCCAAAGTCTGAAGTCTGAGGTTCATTCTTCAGAGTCTTGTTCATAGTCTGATCCACCGCTAAGACAATATTCCAGTTATTTTATCCCGTTGTGAAGGTTTTAGTCTATACACTGAAATTATATCGGACATACCGGGGGAGGGGTACTCCCATATATAAGCCATATATGTATCTGCCGCCCCAAAGGGTAGGGTTTTTGGGCCTTTTTGGTCTGAAAACGGGTATACACTTTGCCCATTCTTATCTGGAATCGGGTATGGTTTTGGAGGGAACTACGAAGAGTATGAACGTATTTATAGAGAGTTCAAAATGAATAAGAAAGAAATAGAAATACGCGAATTCCAAATGCATTTGGAGAGATTTTTTGTTTGCGCTCTAATCCTGAGTAATTATGACATAATTTCTGCCTAAAGGCCAGGTCTAAAAGCGGGTAAGGATTTTAGAGGTCAGGTCTGAAACCGGGTGTGGAAAATGACATTTTTTTGGTCTAACTGAGGGTCAGGATTTGGAGAACCAGGTGGCACACCCCCACAAAAATTCTAGATGTACCTTCCTCCCCCCCCCGGGACAGACATAGCCGGCAACACTGAACCTTCTTGCTGGGAGGTCACGATAATCTGAAAGATGGTATCGCTATATTGCACTTCACAGCTGTGGTGG